AGCATTAAGATACAATAATAAACAAGAAAACAACGAGAAAAATTCACCAAACGCTCATGACATCTTATCAATTAATGTCCGTGCCAGTGTACAGTTTCCATTTATATAAATTAAATTATTAACTTGTAACATAGAAATTTCTCAAAGTGACGCAAGTGGAGATTTTCATTTTGTATATATATATATATATATATATATCTTATCTTTAAATATTGGATACATTTTCATGTCGCCGGAGCCGGTGATGATGTTCTTGTCGTCGAGGAATCTGCAGGACGACAGAAAACCCTCGTAGCCCAGAAGCTCCCTCACGATCTTGGCGGAGCCCGTGGCGTCGCGATTGTTCACGTCGTAGACGGTGCACATGTTGTCCATGCCGCCGCACGCGACGAAGTTGCCGGACGGCGCGAAAGCCACCGACATCACCCAGGCCGAGCGCAACGGGATCACCTGCACCTTGTTGCCGGTCCACGTGTCCCAGATGATTAGCTTCCCGTCCAACGATCCGGTCACGCAGTGTCTGCAGCGTAAAACGTAGATCAATGTAGACAGATGCGTCCGTTATTCTCAATATAAAAGATTCTTGAGGTACGATAAACTGTCTAAATTAATACATTACGACCAAGGTGAAAGCGTAGAGGAGTAAAAATATTTCAACAGCTACATTTATGATGAATCGAAGAATTACTAAAACTAAGACTAAAACTGACCGACTGTCGCCACTGTAGTGTACCGAGTTGACCTTATTAATGTGCCCCTTCAGCATCTTCTTGGTCGACAGTCTAACTTTCGAAGCATCCGCCACCCCGCTGCACACTTGCTCCAACGTTGTATCCTGTTGCTTCTTTTGTTCTTCCTAATAAGGCGAGTAAAACGAATGAGAAGAAGCAAGAGAGAGGAGAGAGTTTTTCTGCCTCATATATATTAAAAATTATAATTGCTTGAAATATTAATCCCTCGACTGTACGATAAAACGTTTGGACCTTGCACTTGTTGATGAGATCCTCCAGTTCTTTCTTCAGGGCTATAGTCTCGGCGTCGTCCTTGCCCATTTTTATCCCCCTTCGAGCGGCACAGAGTTTCACCAGCGCCCAGAAAAATGTGGGAAAGAAACGCCACCGACGTTCGACATGTGAAAATCGTCGACTGTCGAACGATTTCCGACAACACGCAGAGGAAACCTCAGGATCGTCTACCCCGCTGCCCCAGTAATTGTATTAGATCACCAGTTAATTCAATTTGTTGGGCATTAGCTTGGCTTGTTCACGTAACTTAATTATCTACATACATGATAACGCTTTTCGAAGTACATATCTATATTTTATTTTCTTCAAAAATACGCAAAGAGGCACGTGTAATTTTAAAGAAATATGAAGCGTACGTGATAAAAAAAAATATAATATAGGACAAATCTTGTATTAAAGGAGAAATGAGTTGGGAAGGAAACAAGTAGATTGTAGATACAATGAGAGAATTTTAGTTACTTAATACTAATGTAATTGTACGTTTACAGGATAAATCAGACTGGAATGTTACATTCACGTTTCACAGAACTTCACGGGTCGACGACAGCATATTCCCCCGGAATAGGAAATCACGCGAACAAAACCGTCGATACGGTGCGACGGTTAGCCGCTCTTTTCGAAACCACAAAAACCATCGACGGTCTCGCTTTCGAGTCTCCCGCTTTCTCCTATAAATGCCCGAATCTTTTGGCACCGATCTATGTGACTCGGTGTAGATCCCACGGCGATCGGTACTAGTATATTTATCCACGATATCCGTAAAGTACTAAAAGATAAACGTCGTTTACAAATATATTAAGATAAACGTTAGCCCAAGAAGTTAGCATAAGAAAATATAGTATATCGAATATTGTTGAAGACATATGAAATAGTAAAATAACAAGACACAAGTTAAGCCACGGTGTACAATTCTAACATTGCGATTGAATTTCGCACAATCGAGATAAGCTCCAATAGAATATTTTTGTGATAATTGATTAGACGATATGAGAGCACGGAGTGTCTCGGGAAGGCTGACGCTATCGATCGTTCTACTACTATACGGAGATCGACTTACAGCGGAAAACGAGGGAGTGTGTAAAACGAAGCCAACCCACGATGTTTATGTACCCTCGAACGATCTCTCGTGCCAAGAAAATGCCTCGGATAACGAATCATTCGTCATCGAGCGATACAGACCAGCGAAGAAATCTTGTACATCAGATGCAGATTTTGATACAACAGGTACTTTATCTCTCATATTTGCATCGTAATTACAGTTAAATATCGCGGCTATAAAATTTGATTTCTTCGGAAATGCATTATATATGAAAAGGACTTTGCAATCTATAAATACTCTTTTATTAAATCAAACTCAACAATAATATATTTTTTGCCATAAGGATGTACGGACGCTTAATTGATTTTTGCAGATTTATTGAAGTGCGATATTTTTTATCTTTTCGCAGTTGCCACCAGATTTCGATTAGCGATTTACTTCAATCTTGCAACCGTTCTAGAAACGTAAAGCTCGATTTTTCGCAACATTGAACGAAGTATTGGCGGGAGATATTTCTTATTTCATCTACCTCTTTGAGAGTCTTTGAGAAGGTCGATGAACCGTGTCTGTCGTGTGTCAATCACTCAGGGAAATGTTTCCTCATGGTTTTCTTAAGGTTTTATCACGGTTTTCTTATATAATCTCCTCAGACGGTCTCGTATAATAATCTCATGATTTCTTCATGGTCTTACAATCCTTATGATCTCTTCATCATCCTCGTTGTGGCAATGACAAGCATTCGCCGTAGATGCCCGACACGCTCCGGGCTTTTTCTCGGAGCTTCTCCGAGATTCGACGTGAAAGAGCCTCGTGCGTTCATCACGCTGAAAGCGCTGGAAAATAATTATATGCTACGGGCGCTGCAATTTCTGATTACGACTCTGCACGGCGGTTTCCGTCGGTCTCCGCGCTCTCGCGGACCAACCCGACCAACCGATGCGCAGTCGGCGCCAAGCGACGCCAAGCGACGGATGTGTGTCGTCGGCGTGCGGTGCGGATCACCCCGGGGGTTCTGTCAGCCAGTGCGCTCGTAAGCGGTAGAGAAAGAGAGACAAGAGTGAGACATGTTCCACAAGGGAACGACGCTCGGATGCTGGCTCGTGTGGTGCTGCATCTTCCTGACGTACCACGTGGTCAGCGAGGCACCAGCAGCCGGCGCTAACGGTAGGACGCGATCGCCCTTTTCAGGCCAGAAACGGATGAATTCGTGCACATATCGCGACGAAGATCGATATAGAGAGGAGGAAGAGAGAGAGAGAGAGAGGGATCGACCGTCCACGGCGAGTCGATTCTTCCGAACAATAACAGAAGTTTAAAAGGTCGAGAGTTGGGAGAGGAGAGAGCCTCCTCCGATGGTCTTATTTGGACCGAGTGTAAATCCCTCAGATGGTTGCATCTGAATCATTAGGCCTGTTCTTCTCGGTCGCTCGTATTTTCTACACTCGAAACGCGACGGTCTATTTCCAGATATTTTGAAGGCAAATATAAGAAGTGCAATTGAAAGAGAAGACAGATCTACGACTTGTCGACAATATGAATGAAGAATTTTTTTCACAGCTCTTTAATAGAATTATATTAAATAATTAATGAAACATTAATGAGACAGTTTCCTGCGACGTTTTTTTATTTGGATTGAGTTTAAATGTCAGATGGTTGCATATGATTAGGTTCCTCGGTCGTTCATATTATATTTTTTCTGCACTTAAAAGGCAACAGTTTATCTCCAGATATTTTCCAGAAGACAAACGGAAGGAAAATAAAATAAAATTACAGTTGAGAAAATTAGATTTATTGCTTGCGTACAGTTGTACACAAGTGGATGAAACATTACATCAAAATAACTTATATTAAATTATTAATGAAAAATTAATGAGAGAACTTTTTCTCTGATGCTTTTATTTGAATTAATAATAATGGTTTAAATTTCAGATAATTGTATGTGAATCACATTAGGCCTATTGTTAGTTACTCATATTATATTTCCTGCACTCGAAATGCGACAATCTATCCAGATATGTATTTTGAAGGCAAACAAAAGAAATAGAAAAATAAAATTTAAGAAAATCAGATCTATTGTTTGCATACAGATCTATACACAATATAGATCAAAACATTCTTTCAAATCTCTTTAATATATTATCTTCTTTAAATCTTTAATATATTTTCTCTTTGTCTTTAATATATTAAATTATTAACGAAAAATTAGTTAAGAGCATTTTTCTTCTAATGCTTTTATTTGGACTAACAATAAGTTTAAACTTCAGATAATTATGCGTGTATGTGTATGTGTCGTTCATTACTCATGTTACCTATATTTTCTGCATTCGAAATGTCTTTAAAATATCTGTTTTCAAATATAATTTTTGAAAGCAAATAAAAGAAAGAAGATGAAAGGGCAATTAAAAAAAATAAAATTTATCGCTTTGCATGCAGTTGTACACATAAATGAAAAATTATTTAGCTCTTTGAATATATTTAAAGAATATATTAAATTAGTAATGAAAAAAGAATATGTTACGAAGGCTTCTGTTAGGAATATACGAAATCAAAATTATTTACAAACGACAGCGAAAACAGAGTCGAAGCTTCAGTATCAAAAAATCCTTCCATGATTCTCTCTCTCTCTCTCTCCTTTTTTTTATTCTTTTAAAACCGGTGTTCGAAACACCCACGCATTGGTTCAGAACGGAAATCCTCGTTTTGGAGAGTCCTATCTTAGTCACAAGTATAACATCTTCGATCTTCCTGAGAAAACCTAACACAAATCGATTTACGACAGAGAGTAATATGTAATTGTTTATTTTTTTCGGGAGGGAAAGCGGACAAATGGTCAAACGGGTTTGTTGACCGCAGTTTGGTCGGCGACGAGTTTCGGCTCTTCTTGCTTCTCAAGGCGACGCGCGTGCCTGAAATAATTTACTCCATCCGCAAGACACACTTTACACAGCTCGTTACCTTCACTAACATCATAATTCAAAGTACTAAAGTAGTAAAAACTGCATAATAATCCTGAAGAAATTTACAGATTGTTTCTATCTCTTACGAAACAAAAGTTATCAATAAAGAGGGAACTTTACGATGCTCTTCGTACATCTGATTAGTCGAATCTTTTGGAAACATTCTTTCGCAAGTAAATGTCGAAGGACATTGAAGATGGGGTCAAAGGCTACCTATGAGACGCATAATCTCGAATACTTCTCGTTGCGTAATCGGTTTTTAATCGCTGCTCTAATGATTATAACGCTGTTCTTTGATTTTGCTATAACATATCATGATCACAACGACGTCATGTTATAATATAAAACCAAGCGCGGCGTCTTTATGATTCACGCGTGGAAATGTAACTTGTCGTTCAAGTCTTACTGAGGATCGAGTGATGTAATGAATACGTGACGTGATCGTTTCGTTTGTGGAACATGAACTAATTTAATTAATTCGACTCCGTTCTCTTAGTCGGTATGTGTAACCGGATCGAGTGCACGCGGTCCTTATCATTCCATTTCCGGCGTTGCTCATCGCTCAAGCAAACGCGAAACTCGAGAGATACCCTAATTTCTTGATTTAACGACGTTTTATAATTAATACCAAATTAATGCCGATCGTTTCTCTCAACTGATACAACTGCTATAGATCAGTATATCTTATCATTTAACGCTGTTGCACACATTTTTAGTTTTACAATTTCTTCTCGCAAGTTGCTCCAAGGAGGATGATGCTTTAACTCTTCGAACTCCCCCTTTTAATCGCTTTCGAAATGGAAGCCCTGAATGCGCCTTTCCTCAAATTTCCATGGGTTCGGCGTTCTAAGAATATCTCGCGCTGCTTGCGTAAGTGTATCGACAGCCCAGTAATACAAGCGCTGGAGGCGCGTGTTCTCTCTCGGCGCGGCCGGCGTACGTGCCGCGGTTCTCGTGGGCGCTACTTCTCGGTATGACATCACGACTTCGGCGTAATGCAAACGAGTTCATCGGCTGAACGGCTGGACGGCTTAACAATGACGGAATCGATACAGCGTGCACCCGGTGCACAAACACGGTCCATCCTCGACCGTCGCTCGCAACAATTCTTTGTCAATCCGTTCGATCCTCCTCCCTATATGATTTCGACAATTTATACTCTTCATAAGAAGACAAAATTTTTCGCGAAGATACGACGGCTATCTCTGTTATACTTTCAATTATAATGCATTTCTTTATCTCGCGACTAATTGTAACATGTATCTTTTAGATGTCCTGGTATTTACCGTCGCCTCCAACGAGACGGACGGCTTCCAGAGGTACCTGAGGTCGGCCGAGATTTACGGATTTCGCGACAAGTTGAACGTCCTTGGCCTGGGCGAGCCCTGGAAAGGCGGTAACGTTGTGAAATATGCCGGCGGCGGATACAAGATCAATCTCCTCAGGAAAGCCTTGGAGGATCATCAGAACGATGAAAGGAAGATCGTCTTGTTCACCGATAGGTGGGTACATCGATCCTGACGCCGCGGAGGAGAGACGTTTTGTAACGTGGATCATATTTTCCGCTTTTAGCTACGACGTTATATTCCTCGGCGATCTGTCCGCCATCGTCGAGCGTTTCCTCGACACCGGCGCGCGAGTCCTGTTCTCCGCGGAGGCGTACTGCTGGCCGGACAAGTCCCTGACGGCGCACTATCCGCCCGTGTCGAGGGGCAAACGATACCTGAACTCCGGCGGTTTCATCGGCTACGTGTCCGACGTGTACCAGATCCTGGACACCGAGCGCATCAAGGACGAGGACGACGACCAGCTCTTCTACACGACCGTGTATCTCAACGACGAGCTCAGGACGCGGCACAAGATCAAGCTGGATCACAAGTCCGAGATATTTCAGAATCTCTTCGGTGCGGTGGGTAAGGGCAATCGGAATCCACGACGAGAAGCGTCGACGCACGTCGTACATTATTCCCAGTAAACACAGTAAACTACAATATTGCAGCAACATTGTAATATTTCTGCAATCTAACTGGAATGTTGCTGCAACAACATTGCAGTTATAATCTGCATTTGCTAGATTAAATCTATAGTGTCAAATTTAATCCTTATTTATATTACAATATAGTTATTTTTAAATAAAGTAATTTTAAAGAAATCCAAATTTGGGTTAAATTCCACTGTTTTTGAATAAATTAGAACTGTTTTAAATTATTTAACTTAATTGCTTTAGTTAAAAATAACTATGTATTAAGTAGGAGCAGTGACGACTCAAATAGGATTAAATTTGACACCATACATTTAACAGTGTACTTTAATTATCGTCCTCGTTGTCCTTTGCAGCCGACGTGGAGCTCAGATTCAAGGGGCATGAGGCTTATCTCCAGAACATCGTCTATAACACGGTGCCCCTGGTGCTCCATGGCAATGGGTTCAGCAAGCTGGTCCTGAATTCCCTGGGCAATTACCTGGCCCGCGCCTGGACGCCGGACGAGGGATGCCTGGCGTGCTGGGACCGGACCATCGAGCTCAACAAGACCAAGCCGGAAACGTATCCGGTCGTTCTGATAGCCGTCTTCATCGAGCGTCCCACGCCGTTCCTGGAAGAATTCTTCGGAGCTATCTACCGACAAAACTATCCGAAGTCGAAGCTACATCTCTTCGTTCACAACAACGTGTCCTACCACGAGGACGTGGTGGACGACTTCTTCGAGAGGTTCGGCCAGGAATACCGGAGCGCGAAGCGGGTACTGCCGAGCGACGCCGTCAGCGAGATCGACGCGAGAAAGTTGGCGATGTAAGTGAAGCTCGTAACTCGCTCCTGCGAGTATGTATTCGAAGGCTCGAGGGACGCGTTTAGTGCTTAGAGAGCGAGTGAAGGGGCGCGCGACATTTAGGATGCGTTCCATTTAACGCTCGCAACGCTCTTGAAATAATTTCATCTTTGTTGTTTATCAAACATTAAACAAGGATAAGTAATGTTCGCGAGCGTTGCGAGCGTTAAATGGAACGCAGCCTTAGTGAAATGCTAAGAAGAGCGGTCTGTTTCACAGGGAGCATTGCTTGTTGAAGGAGTGTTCCGGGTATCTGTCGATCGACGCGGTCGCGCGTCTGAACAACGAGCACACGTTGAAGCTGCTGGTGGAGCAGCAGAGGGGGATCGTCGCGCCCTTGCTCATACGACCGTACAAGGCGTGGAGCAACTTCTGGGGCGCGATCACGGACGACGGGTTCTACGCGCGGAGCTTCGACTACATGGAGATAATAAAGAACGAGCGCAGGTAAAGGCGAAAAACGAATGTACAAACATCAATCCTCTATATTTTCTTTTCTTCGCTTGAACGGACTACAAATACGTACGCTTGAGGAAGAGAAGGAGGATTATTGTTATTCTAGGTAAACGCCGATTTCTCAACGCTCTGCGCTTCGACAGGATTGAGAGCGATCTCTCGCATTCCGAGATTTAGTCTCGATGACGATTTTAGCCCCTTTCCGCGTTGTACATATCGTTTTCTTAGAATCTACCGTTCTTAGGGTAAGACCGTCTATCGTAAGACGTTTATGGAGCGTTACCTGGACTTTTATATGTTTTCTTATCTAATTGTACGTGTTTGTTTGGGATCCGTATCGCTCGATCCCGTACACTAATCGAATGCGATGGAGAAGTCAGTCTTGAAAGACCTTCGATCGATGCTGTACATATTGTCCGCCGTGCACTCGTAGACCCCCGCGTCCATCTGAGTAGCGGGGTCGATCTCGAGTTTCGATTTCACTTTTTCGGGGCCGACCTGCCACTCGTGTATCTGCGGAGAATGAAGTATCATTAGCATGTAAAACATTCAATCCGGTAGATTGTAGATATTGATTGTAGATACAGCTCGACCGTTCGTTCTTGGCGATTTCTTGGCAGTTAATAATTTGACATAGTTGCAGCATAATTTAACATTTTTTTTTTTTTAGATTGAGAGAGAATATGCGTATATTCACTGACATGTAGGTAGTGATGGGTATAAATCTCGGCGCCATCCTTAAACCACGTAATGTGCGGGCGCGGATTGCCGCGAGCGACGCAGAGGAAAGCTATTTTGTGGCCTAGAACGTACTCCAGATCGAAATGCGACGCCAGCAGTATCTTGGCTCCCTAAAAGAAATTAATGCACACCGGTGACGATTTTAATTCTTGGATCAAATCGAAGCACTCTGAGGGCCTCTATTCTTGAATCTACATCGCACACAAAAATTTATAATATACATAAAACGCATACCACCAGAATTTTTGTATGCGATATTTTTCAAAAATAAGGCCCCTCTTCATCTTTCTCTCATTGGAATGACACGCGAGAGTGGAAAAAGAGCTCCTCTCGGGCAATATCCATTTTTCTACGTACGTCGTTATTGTTGTAATACTGATCGCTCTCCGGATCGCGGTACTTCCCGGTAATAGGCAATCCAATCTGCACGCGGGACTTGCTCCTGCCTCTGCCTCGTCCTCTCCGGCCAAGTGTCTCTTGACAATTGAGCAATAATATACCCAGCAGGATTAGCAACAGCATGGAGCGTGACATGATAATCTGATAAAAGTGGAATGGAGTGGAAACGTTAACACATAGTACCTTCACACGGAGTTTTTTTTTTTTTCGAAACTTTCGTGTGTATTTCTCGCTCGTGCGGTCACACTTGACTTTGGGGCGACCCGAAATTCAATTTCGCCAATTGAGTCGCGGAATCGAGAGATCAAGGTTGACACGAGATTATGTGGAAACGCGCGGTTAGGATGCGCTGAAATTTGCAGCTTCGATTTGTTTCGACGCCGCCTATTTCGCCGGAGCGAAAGGTATCGTATACGCTGAGGATACTCACTGTACGTTGCGGCGTTCGTCGATCACACGGAACTCCGATGTAACTGACAGTCACCTACTCATTACTCCCCCAGTGTCCTCTCGTATCTATTACAGACTTATATGCAGATAATGTATGTCGGGCTATATGCACGGCGGTTATATTCCTTTGCACTGCATGATCGCCATCAATTCCTATCAAATCTACAGAGCGCTTATCCATTAATTCAACCGTTTGTCCATTCCTTCCGGAATGACACGATTTCCGGTGCAATTTGCGGGTCGCTTTTGAATTGTATAAGTTGACGCGAGTCGGCTTAATTAAAAATTTTGCAACGGTGCGCAACACACCGTTCGAACTCGGAAGAGAGTCTCGAAGCCGCGGGAAGCGGAAACCGCCGTGCAGCTAGAGGGGAAATAACTGTAACGATTACACACAGCGTTTCGTACAATATATACTCATGCAGATTGTTTATTTTCACCATCTGTGCTACAGATCGTCGCGTTCGGCGTTGGCGACGCAGCGTGGTACGCCCTTCCATGCCAGTGTCGCGCGGCGCGTTGCAATTGCCTTGTTAAATTCGCAGTGATGGACCATTTTCGATATATTCCTCGCGTCACACATCCCCTTCTAACAGTCAATCACGCTTTAACGAATTGGGGGGAACCGCCGGATTTGTATTCATATAATCTTCGCACGTCCCATTGGCGATCCGAAAAGAGGTCTGTTTTGCTCGTGTCGGGAAGGAGAAAGGACAAATTATTATGACCTTAATTTTCTACGTCGCTGAGAGAGCCACGTAGAAAATTGAATTAACTTCTTAAATTCATTCACGACCTGTGCCTCGCTCATTAATTTAACATCTAGAGCTCTATCAAAAGTAAACTATAATACGATCTATTCATCAAGGTAAAAATCTATCGCGTATAGTAAATGAAATCAATAACAAACTGTCTATATCTATTTTCACACAGGAATATTATTTTCGTTCTAATACTAATGGCGATCGCGCGGAGCTAACCGTCGGAGAAGACGCTCAATACGAGATCATGACGTAGTCCGTTCTGAAGCCCCGGCGATCGACGGCGTACTGATTGTCCGCCTGGCACTCGTAGTATCCGGCGTCCTTTTGCGTCGCAGGGTCGATCTCCATCTTCGACTTTATCGTGTTGTTACCGATGGGCCACTCGTGTACCTGATGGCAATTTAAAAGGAATCGATTTCCTTGATTCTCGCGATTGTTCGAGAAAGCAATCTCTCTCTCTCCTCTCTTTAACAGCGCGAGCTCTTTTTTTTGGGAAAGATCAAGTCTTCTCGATCTTAACGCGATTGGAGATTTAGCCTACCTGGAAGAACTTGTGATGGTACAGCTCGATCCCGTCCTTGAGCCAGGTGATCTCCGGTCTCGGGACACCGATCGCCATGCAGAAGAACGTGATCTTTCTGCCCAGCATGTAGTCCAACTCGAAGTGGGACGCCTTGACGATCTTGGCACCCTGCGAAAGGAACCCGGGCAAAAAATGGGTATCACTAGGTACCGCGTGCACAGACACACACACACACACACAAGACGCTACCACAACCCTTCGTCATCAGTCAACTCACATCCTTGTTTTCGTAATAGTGCGTGCTCGCAGGATTTCGATTGGGTATCAGGATGTGTATCCGCGAGCCGGACAGTCTTCCTCGGCCGCGGCCCCTTCCTCTACCACCGCCGCCCTTCGCCGCCTCTGTGCTTATCATTAGGGCCGTTAGTAGGAGCAAATAGACCAACCAGCATCTCGTCATTTGATCTACAACCAGAGAAACTTGGGACGACTCGAGAGTGACCAACAACGCGCGGGCCTCCGTCGCGGGCACTTTATATACTTTATCGCGAACTCATTTGTCTCACTATTACATACGTACATAGCATTACTCACTACTCTTTTTACATGTATATATATATATGTATATATTGCATTATATTGTTATATTAAATCGATTCGCGGCCGTGAGAAATTCGATGATGAGATCAATCGGACCGCGTTCCGCGGGCAATAAACGAGCGCCGATTTACAATGCAATCGCGCGCGCGAGGCAATTCATTCATCGAACGTGCAGCACACAAGCATTTTCGCTATTCCTTACCGGAAGATACGGAGGGACTTGGCTGACCTCTGGGCACGAGCGATATTACGGAGACCGGATCCGCTAGGTCCTACCACCTAAAATACGAATGAAACCACGAGGCGACCACGCGCAGTCACACGCTGGTGTGGACAGAGTTATGAATCTCAATTGGATAATTATGCATAACTCATTGCCAAGTGTGTTCAACGGCCAATCGCGGCTACCACTGCCATCCACCTTACAAAACACTTAAGCGACGACCTCCGGAAAACAAACGCGCGACCGTGCCCGCGCGGCCGTGGGGCAGGCAGACAAGTGCTCTCCGCTAGCTGTTGTCACGTAGTTTGCACGCCTTCTCCGACGCGCTGCTCTCCTCCATTCGCAATTCGCCGAATGCTGCACGCGCGCTGATATATGCCTCGTGTTTCAGGGGACTGTGGAACGTGCCGTTCGTCAGTAACTGCTACTTGATCAACGCGACGATCATAGCGAACAAGGCGACCCGGCCGTCCTACGAGGCCGATGGCGACCTGGACACGGAGATGGCGTTCGCCCAGGGGAACCGACTGCGGGGTCTGTTCATGTACGTCAGCAATCGGCTCGATTTCGGCCATCTCGTCGATCCCGATACCTACGACATCCGGCTCGCCTATCCGGAAATGTACCAGATCATGGACAACAAGCTGGACTGGGAGAAGAGATACATTCATCCGAATTACAGCGAGAACTTCAATCCCGACAAGAAGCCGATACAGGTAAAGGTGGCTCGTCGATGATTCAGCCGTGAATCAGATTTCTCTGAATTTGCCTGCACTTGTCTGTTATCTTCTGTTCAACTTCACCGCTTGTTGCAGCCGTGCCCGGACGTCTATTGGTTTCCCATTGTTAATCTCAAGTTCACCAAGGAGCTCATAGGAATCGTCGAGACTTACGGACAATGGTCGGACGGAACTAATCACGTAAGTTGATATATTCCCCCGTGAGTCTTTTATCCAATCAGCTTCGTTAACGTTACTAGGAATTCTCTTGTACTGTGCGATAACTTTATTGGCAGGATCTACGGTTGACGGGTGGCTACGAAAACGTGCCAACCCGCGACATTCACATGAACCAAGTTCAGTACGAGCAGCAATGGCTGTACTTCTTGAAAGAATACGTTAGGCCGTTGCAGGAGCTCGTCTTCACCGGCTACTATCACGACGTAAGATTCATTTGCGTTTCCGATGATCTTTCTAGGATTCCCGGTTGGACTCCGGATACGAAGCGGTACCGACCCGTGATATTCACATGAATCAAGTCGGTCTCCAGAACGCCTGGTTAAAGTTTCTAAAAGATTATGTCAGTCCCTTGCAAGAGCTTGTCTTTACGGGATATGATGACTACGTAAGATTCTGAAATTTGGGTATATTTGGAAAAGGGGTCTTAAATGCGCACAGATCTCGCTATGGTATAAGCACTCGCTAAACGCACACGATTTAACTAGCTAGGTTGTACCGCTTCGTAGCAAGCGGTTGGGATCTCTGGCGTTGTACGTAGATATTTGACTTAACAAGAACAATGATTTAAAGAAAAAATTAAAATTTACAGTTGCTATAGATTAGTTTACTTGGGACTTCACTTATTATACTATAATCTCGTATGCCCGGCAGCCACCGCGGTCCCTCATGAACTTCGTCGTGAGGTACCGCCCGGACGAGCAGCCGTCCCTGAGACCGCACCACGATTCCTCGACCTACACCATCAACATCGCCCTGAATCAGGCGGAAGTGGATTACGAAGGCGGTGGATGCAGATTCATCCGATACAACTGCTCGGTCACCGACACCAAGCCCGGCTGGATGCTGATGCATCCCGGAAGACTGACGCACTACCACGAGGGGTTGCGAGTGACCGCGGGCACGCGTTACATCATGATCTCCTTCGTGGACCCGTGATAGAGTATCCCACTGTAAAATCCATAAATTATCCGGACTCTCTACCGTTGTATTGAAAATGTACTGCCAATCGTATCCAGAACGAGGAATATCAAAAGATAGGAGAAAGATAGCGCGCGCGATCAAAAGAGAAATGTAATTCCACACACGGACGCGTTCAGGTTGTCGTCGACTAGAAACGTCAATTGCCACTGAATGAGGAACTGAATAGGGCATTTAACGGATGTGTGAAAGCCGCTTAACCGATGTATTATTTTTATACTCTTTGAAAATGCACGCCTAATCGTGTTTTTTCATAGCTAGCAATATTGCGAATTTACGACGAGAGACGATAAAAATATATGATACGTATATTGTGTAATATCGATTGACATCTTTAAATTCGTCAGTTCTTTCAAAGTATACACAAACATCAATAATAAGATTTATAATAATAAATGTTACCGAAATACGAGCGTCGTGTTTTAACCATGTTAATCTCTTATTCTTGCTCTCCGCTCTTTTTCTCTAGGTACGACCGAAAGGAAAAGGGTTTCAAATCTCCTCAAGCTCGAACATCTTTTTCGATTTTTCATATGCATATCTGTATAATTTCTTCAATATATTACAATATTAGGAACATCAACGGGATTAAATAATTAAAGAGTAAACGTCACCGAATAGCAAATTTTCAAAAATCGATTTTAATTACATCCCTGCACATATATTTACAGAGTAAAAAACGTACCTCGGTCGGAATTAATCTCGCGACAGTACATGTGCCATTTGTGCAAAACTAACATAATTAAAGCCATGTTATTTTCACTACGGAGAGTAAGTACTCATAGAGTTGAACTTGCTACACGGATTTCAACAACACGGACTTAATTCCTTTAACCGTTCACTACATTTGCTTCCTTATCTCAAGTTGTGTCCGAAATACATGCAACTGTACCCTATCAAAGTTAATCTTAAAGCACTCTCGGTTTTTAACCACTTCATTCGTTTAGCGCCACTTGCGCGCGCGCGCGCGCGCGTGTGTGTATGTGTGTGTACATCGATTCTGGAATGCTACGCGAATTCAAAATAATTTAGAATGCAGCGTAAGTAAGAAGCGAGTTAAACGTAAACGTGTTTATGCAAAATACGTTTCAGCCGAATCTCTTCATTTCTCCGTCGTATCTCTCTTCTAGCCACATCAGATACATCTGGTAATCACGAAAATGCTATAAATTCAAATTCACAATAACGTTTAATTTAACTAAGTCTTATTTACAGCTTTGTTCGATTTTCATAGAAAAAAATGGTTATATATATTATATATTCATCTCAGAAACCAGCCCGTTTCAATTCGTTCAACTGATGCGCCAGTTTCTCCTCCTTGGTTCGCCTAGCTTGTCCCAGCTTCCGGCACTCGATGTACGTGCTGAGAAAGCGCTCGACGTCGATCTTCCGGTTGAGAAAATCCTCGGCGATCTTCTCGCTCTCCTCGTGGCTCTCGTCCGCCGCCTGCCGCAGGCACTCCTTTATGTGATCCGGCGTGAAGACCTCGGACAGTTTGTTGTATCGTTGTATTAGGTGATCATATCTCGCCTTCAGCGCTGCAACCGTCTTCACCTTGTCCGCTACGTCCGCCTGCAGCTGCTCCAGCTCGGGTTCTTTGGCTGCGTTAGCTTCTACGAAAGAGCGAGACGCGAGCTTATTAATAAACAGTGACATTCATATTTATTAATATTAATATTCATATCAAATCAGAAAATTAATAAGATACACAAAACAAATAAAAGAAAATAATAGAATGGCGATAATAGAATTTTTTTTTAAATATTTCTACAGTAAAAATATTTCTGTTTTTACCGGCAGTTTTTTCAACCCAATCCATAGCATCTTCGATCGCCGCGTTTATATCCTTAATTTGGGAATGTTTCTCCAGGAAGTCGTCGAGCTTGTCGTCGTCCTCGCTGAGCCTCTTCAATTCCTCGTTGGTCAAATTATTTAATTCGGGAAATATTATGCTCTGCGGCGCTTTCGCCTGCGTTTGACTCGGCTGCAACGGCTGCTGATAGTTCGCGTTCGCGTAATGCGAGTAAGGCGCGCCGTGCTGTTCCGAGGTGTAGCGCGCGGGCGTGGAATTTTGCAGCGCGCTGTTCCCCGAGCTCGGAATATACGCCGGGCGGTGCGACGTGCCGCCGAACGATTTCGAGGTCGAGACGTACGTGTGACCGGAATTCGTGTAGTTGTAGTTATTGTAAATGCACGTGTTCGCGTTGGAGGACGACAGGTGTGGGTACTGCGTGTTGTAATACGAATTGAACGACGTCGACGGGATCTCGACACTGGGATACTGCTGGAGCGAGTAAGACGGCGAGTTCCTCCCCTGCAGATCTATAATCAACGACGAAAAATATTTCATTACAATGGAATCGCGTTATCTAGAGAGAGACAAGATAGTTCTGACAATCGAATGCCTTGGACAACAGAAGCTCACTTGTTAGCTCTGATAAACCGTGACGTTACAGCTTATCAGAATATTTGGAAAACTGAGGTTGAGCACGTCGAGCTTTTGTTATCCGAATGACTCAACTGTGAGTTCGTATGTACATTTGAGCACAAACTTCATACAAGAGCCAATTTCACCTTCTATTAACTTAACGGATCAATATGGGAATTGACCAATTGTATTTGCCGTTAAGTAGAGCTGATCAGAATTAATCAATCACGGTTGACGCTCATGCCAGTTTCTATATCAATGCAGATTGGGTTTAATATCAGTTTAACTTCATCTTTTTTTCCAATTCTTCGAAAGAGAGAAAAATGAAGAGTAAGTTGGGACCAAGATTGACGTTAATCTACATTGGTGAAGCACATTAATCAGTCAGTTAAGTCAGTTGAGTTAATTGAAGATGGTGAAATTGGCTACAAAATTAAATAAAACAAATAAATGGTATTCTATATCGGTGAGTGATGGAACATGGAAAGTGGCGATATATACCTGGGTGAGATTTAGTAGAGCCAGGTGAAATATCCTCTAACAACTGTGGCGGGTTTTTGCTGAATTCTCTGATAATAGCTTGGACGACCCGACCGAGATCACTGTGCACTGAAAACTGGAATAACAGCGAGAGACTTATTGTCTTGAATGTAAAAATTCGCAAATAAAATGTAAGAAAAATTATATATATATATATATATATATATATATATATATATAACATATATATATATACATATTTTCACGTTTCACAAATTTTCAAATACAAATCTCTCTCTAGTTACATTGAGTAATCCTGGCGCGCTGGTAATTTCACTATGCTCGTTACACCAGGGATGGCTTATCGGTGGGGAAACTCTGAGTACTGGCTTCTCCAGTGGGAAATTCGGCGACAGGGAAACCATAATGGCCATTCGTCTCTCCCCAGCTTGAAATTCCACCTGATAGTCCACATTTTCTCTGAGCTCTATTACACTGGAAAACATTTATTGCATTACACACCACCGGGCAGAGGTACCAGGCAGAATTCGCGGGAGACCAACTGCGACCTTGAGCCGGCATTAAGTCTTAATGTTGTTACCTCAGCTGTCTTATGCCTCCCCTTCGCCCCTCCCTACCCCCTACCCAATCCGTCAAGAGATTTTCATTCAGAAACGTAACGTCATTTGCGCGATTCGAGGAAATGACGCGGACGTGTATTTCAGGGGGGAAAAAAAATCCTCGAAGGCCGATCGCTAACGTCACGACGATGGAGGACTCGTGATCGCTTTCGACGTCGCGCTCGGATGAGGCAGCGCTACGTGAACAATCGCGTTACGGGCAATCCGATTGTTTTCGCGGATTGTGGGCGGCCATTCGCGGGGCGACATCGATAATATCGACAATAATGCAGCTCAAGTTAGAGAGGTTAACGAAAGGGAGAGAGACAGAGAGAGAGGTTACAACGTCGATGGGGGAGAATCGGGGGAGAAGCCCTCCTCCTCCTCCCCCCGCGACGGCGACGTCGTCGACGACGACGACGACGACGACGACGACGAGAGTTCACCCTTACTTGTCGTTAAATATTTTCAGAGTGTCGATTTGCCGTTTGCGTTTGACCGCGACATTCTCGATTTCTCCACGGAATATTCGCGATATCATTTAAGTGCCTGGACTTCCGATAGATCTCTCATCCGCTTGACCGTCGTCCCTGTCAACGCGACCATCCAGCAGAACAGCTGTTTTATAACCTCGTCGCACTTCACGGCAGATAGGACAGAAGGGCCCGTACGGGAATACGGGCAAATACGGGGGGTTCACTTCGGCAGCTTGGTTTACTAGTTGCGCTTGTCAAACGGCGCCACCGTCGCCAGTGTGTCGCCAGTCGCCTGCCTCGCGTCGGCGCGAGGGGGAGAGAGGATAAAGAGAAGCCAGAGGGGAAGAGAGAGAGAGAGAGAGAGAGAGAGAGAGAGAGAAGTGATAGTCAGGTAAGATAGGTTAGAGACAGATAGGTAAGATAGGTTAGAGAAAGAGAAAAAATCAGAGAGAGAGAGAGAGAGGACTCCTCATCCAGCTGTCATCTAATTCATCTATTATTCATCTACCATCATCTACATTATGTTCAAGAGAGAAGAGAGATAAGGAGATAATTGAATATCTCCCCTCCAGTCGCTGTTCTGCCTCTTTGAGAGAAAAAAAGAAAATCTCATGCCGACCCCCCCCCCCACCCGTTGCCCCCAATCGCCTCCGATCGCCCTAATTCAAAGGCTGGCACGCGGACGCCTCCACGAAACGACCACGTTGAACTACGTAGCTGCATTTTCCTGAAGTCTCCGTAGATAACATTCTACAATTTAATATATTATTTTGCTTCCACGATATATATGCATATACGCTTGCATTGTTCGCAGAGCATTATTGTGGAGCATCGCTCCGAAGTTTGGATCTCCGCGATGCTTTCGTTATACGATCATCGTTACAATTTGTAATGTATATAAAGACGCGCACATGTCATCGGAATCGCGTGAGACAGCTGGAATGTGTATTTACCTATCGGCGATCCTCGTTCCCGGTGACAACATCAACACCGAGCGTCAGAGAGGGAAAAATAACACGATATAATATAAATTAATGGTCGCTTCTACGAAAGGGATTTTCTGACGTGAAGGCTGCACCTCTCATATCCCCGCTTTGCGCGGAGTCAGTCAGTCAGATTGTCAGATTTATTTTCCTCCCCTTTTCGAAAGAAAAAATCCGGCGTGAAGTATCTCTCGATCGTTGATCGTCACGGAACGACGACTTTTGACAGAATATCTCTGCATACACGGGACGCCAGAAGGACCGGGTCACACGAGCGGGCTTTACGAGCGAGCAGGATTCGTATTCTATAGTTAGATCAATGTAAGTGCAGCCTTCCCCGCGAGACGCGCGAGCGCTTACAATACGGCGCTTACATACATCTTTGTTTTCCCCCAGAGATTCGCGGCGCGCCGCCGAAAATAAACGCGGAAACCGGGCGACGTGACGCCGCGCCGGGAGGCGGACGTCTCCTTCGACGCTGTACCCGCGAATGCTCGGGAATCGCGTCATGTCGTCCCTCGTGCAGATAGACGGCAGCTTGGGCGAAGGTGTAAGTACGATGTAGACTGTAGAGGATCCTTTGAATATACTGTCTTTTTCTTTGAAATTAAATACATTGGTTTATACATGTATGTTAAAAATATAACAGACACACATTTGTGTCTCGAAAAAAACGAGCAGTGCGTTTGATATGTACTTTGCTTCAATATATACTTTTTTATTAGCTACATATCTTTAGGATTTAATGTTGCGATGTGTCTTGTTCTTTGAAACGTTTCCTGTATTCAATTTGTGTCGCAGCTGTCAATGTTGACAGCTATATTTTTCTCTTTTTCTCTTCCTTTTTGCATCTGATGTGTAAATCACTGTCTTTTAAGAAAAAAAAAACGCGATATCTATAACATATCTACAATCTCTAATCTTGATTTCTCTTCGAAGGGTGGGCAAGTATTGAGAGTCGCCCTCAGCTTGAGCACGCTCTACGGCATTCCCATCGAAATCGAGAATATACGCGCCGGCAGGCCCAAGCCCGGTCTCGCGGCGCAGCATTTGAAAGGTGAATGCGAGGGCAGAATTCTCAGATATTTCATATTCGACATGGAGCGACATGGAGAACTCAGCTCTGCGTTAAATTGTGTTACAGGTTTGGAGCTCGTCAAGGAGATGTGTAACGCCCAGGTCAGAGGTGGGTACATAGGATCGACACGTTTGGAGTACCGGCCCGGTCCGCTGAACAAGGCCAAGAGGACGTTCGTAGCGGACACGCAAACCGCCGGATGCATCTGCCTGCTGGCGCAAGTGGCTCTGCCCTGTGCCCTCTTCTTTCCTGCATGTAACGACGTGATCACGCTCATCCTCAAGGGCGGCACGAACGTTCCCATGGGCCCGCACATCGAATACCTGACGGAAGTGTTCAAGCCGACGCTGAACAAATTCGGGGCGGACTTCGATTTCGTAGTTGTCAAGAGGTATATAATATTTCATTCAGTTTTATTGTACCTGTTCTTAAGTTTACGGCTACATACTGTTCTGCTTATACTAAAATTAATGACAAATGAAGGGGATATTATCCGAAGGGAGGAGGCGAGGTGCATCTACGCGTAAAACCGGTCAGCAGCTTGAACGCGGTCACTTTGATCGATCCGGGAATTCCACGGGGAATAACGGGATGGTCTTACGTGGCTGGATCGGTTCACATGAATGTACGTGTCATGCTCGATCGGATCTACAAATAAATGTTGATAAAATTTAAATTAAAAAATATACGCTGTATATGTACTTTATAGGAGGCGCATACAATGGCCAGCGATGCCAAAGCAATTTTAACGAATAAATTATTGAGGAGCAACATTCGAGTACCGCCAATCACGATCGAGGCCTACAGGGAAGACAGAGCGATGGCTGTTGGAAACGGCTCTGGTATCAAGTAAGGAGACTACTGTATTAAAATTTTCTTCCCTGATCTACGTCAGATACAGATGAAAGAATTGGCAGAGATGTAAATGTAAAATGAATATTTAATAGCATAGTGTGTAACACCAGCACCGGATGCGTTCTCGGCGGCTCCGGCTTAGGCTCCGGCCGGCACGAGGGACCGTTGCCAGGCGACACAGCGGCTAACGAGATTTTGAAACCGCTCCTAGCGGGGGCGTGTGTCGACGAGCACACACAGGATCAGGTAAGTCACTTAAAGCGACGTCTACAGTAAGATTTAAGATTTAAGAAAATTGATCAATCATAGTCGATTATTCGTCTCACGTGAGAAAAATAATCGATTGTGATTAATCAATTTCCTCAAATCTTAGATCTTAAGTCTCATTGTAGACACCGCTTAAGGGTATCACACGTACAAAATTTTAGTTGTAAGCAAACTGACCAATCACAATCAAAATTGCGGTCTTATGTTTTCGAACGTTCGACTCTGCGACTGGTCAATGCTTACGATTTTACGATTACGGTTAAAATTTTTGGAATGTGATAGCCTTCAGCGAGCTCGAAGAGAGCTTGTCTCGACTTTCGCGATTAAACGCGTCGTCGTTTGTTACAGATGATAATTTTAATGGCGCTGGCGAAAGGCACCTCGAAGATCAAAGTCGGGGACAAGAAGCTCACCTGTCACACGGAGACTGCCATGCAGATCGCGGAGATAATGTTAGGCAAACGCGGACTTCGCTTCAACCTGTCGAGGAACGCCGAAGACGGCGACACCTCGTCCTACATCTTGGAGTGCCAGGGATGCGGACTGATTAACGAAGATCCGGTTAAACAATGACCATATGACGCTTTATAATTTAACGCGTTGCGCTAAATTAAACAATCTCGACGCGAGTCAATCACGTCGGCGATCGATCGGCGTTTACAAATAAATTGCAAAACATCAACATCGTTAACATTCACACACATACTTTCGTAAACTTTCCAAGGGTACGTCTAGAATTTTACAAGAGAATGTTCGCGAAGTCGTTTAAGTAACAGTTCATTAACAAGCGCCATTATATGTACAATGTGGCACGGTTTTCTGTGTGCTAAATCATGATTATGTCTTTTACGTACTGCATTCTAAAAATCAATGCAAAACTTCAAGCAGAAAGTCTCTCGCGTCTCTAAACAAAGTAAATACAGATTTGCCTCACATAGAAAACCTTAACATCCTTATTTGTTAATTACATGTACACGCTACTATACGTACGAGATAATGTGACATGTGCACCGAAAGTGCGTTTTGATTTCGAAATGAACCATTTGCACGTATATATCCGTAATTTATACCATTTTTAGAGGAACTGTAAGGCAACACATTATTCCTGTTTCGATCTGAAAAACGGCTCGATCGCCCGTAGAAATTCCCTCTCGAAGATCTCGCATGAGAAACGATTTACAGACGATCTGAAAAAAAGAAAAAATGGAATCGATATGTAATGAAATCCTCATTTTGTAATATCAAACAATTGTTCAAATTATTATTGTCAAACAATTATATAATTATATACCTAGCCGCAACTTTGATAGCGTTTCGTTCCGTTGGGTGCATTTTTATGATGCTCGCTAGTACTTTTGCATATTCCATCTCGTCCTCCGCTAGAAAACCGGTCACACTACCCTCTTGCGTTTCTATGATGTCTGCCCTAAAAGTTCGTATATAGAATATTCTTTAAGATAAAGAAACACGAATTTTTATTAAAACATTTTTTTTTTACGAGCCGGTGTATACCTCGGTCCGCCGGAAGCGTGGGCCACCATGATTAATCCCGCGGCCATGCACTCCACGACGCCGATACCAAAATGTTCGTTCCACATTGTATGCAGACCGATCGTTGCTCTCTGCATCTCGGACACGAGCTCGGAGTACGGTACGTTCAGCTTGAACTCGACGTTGTTGTCTAAAGCCAGGTACTTCGCCAGGTCCTGCATATCCTTGACGCGCCCCTCGTCCTCGGCGTCCCGACAGGAACCGATGCAGATTAATTTGACCTGAACAGCACGATCGAGTTTAGAACAGCTCGCCTCGACGAGCCGAGACGATTCGTTAAGTGTCAGACTAAAGAGATTCGATTGGGATTTGACCGACCGAAGCAAAGTTCACTAAATTTGAAATTAGCTTTCTTTCTTCTAACTGGCTAAATCCCAATTTCAATCTTTCTTTTTCCGATCTTTTCTGGCTTTAGTTTCACCTTTTCCCAGACTTCCTCCTCAATAATAGATCTCAGCTCGAACATCGCCCTCAGCATGAGCGGATGATTCTTCTCCGGTCTGAATTGGGCGATCGCCACTATCCGTATATAGTCGCCCTTCTCCTCGTCGCTGAGGAACGGCAGCTCGGTCAGGTGCTCCACGTTACACGGGGGATACAGTCTGTGGGTTTTCAACGGGCATTTCCAGATTCTGTTGATATGGTCCTCGGTCCACGAGGAGTTTACCATCACGATCTCGGCGCAACTGCCAACCAATCCGTACAACTGAAACGTTCTATTGTGGAATAAACTGTTTTGAAGAGATCTCATCTCCTTTTTCTTTCGCAAAACGAACCGATCGGAGATTCTAGTAGCTGTGTACTTACGCGCCCGAATAATTTGTAGTAAAGGAACTTGGCTCCCGAGAAGAACGGATTTCTGGCGATGGCCCTTCGATTGTTGAACGTGGCGATTCTCTTGTAGACGTACTTCAACATGTCGGTCGAAATAGTGGGATAGTGCGTGTACGATCCGACTCGGCAGCCGCCGATGTACTTGAATAAGGGATACGTGAACGCGTAGCCCATCGTGTCGATGTATATATCTGCAGATTTGTAACAAGTGTTGCACGATGTATTGTGTTAGCTACTTTTTTTTATGCCTCAACCATAGTGAAAATTTAAAGGAATTAGAGCTCGCCAAAAGAATAAATCAACCATAGGGAAGTAACGCCAAGTGTGAGCCAATAGATGTTGGTGTAATAATTTTTACAATATTCAGTCACACGCAATATTGTAAAAATTATTACACACCAACATCCGCGTTGACGTTACTTCGCTGTGGTCGATTTATTCTTACCTGCGAGCCCTGATTCCTTTAAATCTTTTTTAATGCGTCCTTTCAATGGAAAAACTAAAGCGGTAGGAACATACTTAAAATCAATCTATTGCGTCACCTGGTGTAAGATTGTTCAACGCCTCGATGCCCAGAAAGACGGATCCCAGGCTCTGCCCCAGAAGCGTGAAGTAAGGATACGTGGAGGCCTCCACCCATTTCCGTCCGTGCAAGTAGACGAACTCGATGTTGGGCCGTAATTTCAGGTTGAACGTCTTTTCGGTTCTGTTGAGAATCTTCTCGGGATCGGCGTCAAGATCGCCGGTGTATATAACGATGTGCACGTCGGAATATCTGGAAGTATTCAATATCAGATAAGTACGATGGCGTAGGAGTGTAATGTGACGTAATGGCTCTTTATGTATTAAAGATGCATCTCAAGTCCGGCAGATCACGGGGGTGTGTCTTAAATTTCAGTCACTTTTCTTGCGCGTACTTGTTCTGTATAGCCTGCACCGCGGCCCAGAGCACTCGCTCGCCGCCTCCGCCCGCGTTGCAGTACGGATGGAAGATCCCGACGACCGTTCCGGTCTGCTGTCTCTCCTCGCGCTTCCTCGAGTAGAACTTTCTCCATTTTATCAATAGAATTGGCAGGAGGACGAGTACGCAGAGCACTTTACATACGATCACTAGCAGCAGCATGTTTACAAATAGGATTATGGGTGTCCTGCAAAGATATGTTGACTTAAGAACAGACATAGCTATAGACATTTAATAATTATACACATAATTTTTCTCGCTCGATATTGTATAGATGTATCGCTGGAATATAAGCAAGACTCATAAATATAATCTCGAAACTGGTTACAGCACACAGCAAAATCAGTACGAACGTTGCGATCAAGAGAGTTTTTCAAGACAGATAATCTCATGTAAGCCAGTTAAAAATTTAATTATTCTAATGTCCATTTCTATCAATGTAGATTAACTTTAATCTCGGTTTAACTTAATTTTTGCCTTTTTCTAGAATTAGAAGTAGATAAAGAATAAATTCAACTGAGATTAAAGTTAATCTACATTGGTAGAAATGGGCCTAAGGTGGCAGCGAAACGAATTGCGAATAATTGCAAAGGGAAGAATTGATATTATGAAACTACAAGCGAGGCTTTCACAAATGTAATCGAAAGCTATAATTAAATCAATGAAAATTTTGAAACTGAGCGCAAAAATACTCCAGGTCGAATACTCTCCGCGAGACAGAAGTCAAATTGCATTTCGCAAAAAGAGGGCAATAAAAGAAACAATGCGGATAAAAATGCGAGTAATAAAAAAAAAGAGAGAGAGAGAGAGAAAGGTTCTTAATGCTAGATTTGCAGTTACACACCATGCAGGAGATCGCACTAACGAGCTGCTTAACGAGCGGAGAAAATCCCTTACATTAAGAAGTAAAAAATCATGTTCGCGGCCACTCGCGGATCCGCACGTGTGTGTGAGAGACTGCCTGTCGTAGTGCGCTCGGTTGACGACGTGTAACTTCCGATAACACTTCGTGGCCGGTGGCACGGTCCTCGAGCGGACGATCCCTCGCGTCCTCGCGAGCGAGAATCGGGAATTAACCTCCCACACGCGCGAGACCTAACCTCGCTGTCGCGCGAAAGCTCTTTGTTTTCCTTTCCCTTTAATGTACGTGCATACGTCGGTAAACACAGGTGCAGGTGAATATTTATCTTTGGAAGAGAACGCTCGGTCGACTCCTCCTCCTCCGTCGAGGATCGAACATACTAATTCGCTTTCTCGATCGCGAGAGGTACGAAGGGGAAGAGAGGAAAAGTATCAATCACGAATATCACGATATCAATGAAACAAAGTGCGAGGAGGTGCAGCTTTCGTTGCGTATATATATATATATATATATATATATAATAGATTTTAATCTCATAGAACTTTAATCTCAATTGAATTTATTTTTTATCTACTTCTAATTCTTAGATCTATAGAAAAAGGCAAATATTAAGTTAAACCGAAATTAAAGTTAATCTACATTGATAGAAATGGACATTAGAATAATTATATATATAGTAGAACTGTAGAATATATATATATATATATATATATATATATATATATATGTGTGTACCGGTCAAAACAGCGGGTTTCGCTCTTTTTTTTCTTTCGTACTGTTCAGAATCTTTACAAACGTACGGATGATAAAATCAATCGATTAACATCGATCGAATTGATACTTATTTCTCTCAAACTCGAGTAATCATTGAGTTTTCATATAACAAAATAATTTTCTTTCAAACTATATAATTCGAGATAATTGTAGAATTTGTGGGTGTCGGATTTATATATATTTTTTTTACAATTAAGAAATCAAGCTCTGTAAAAACAAGATAAAATATCATATACAGGTATATAACAAAATCTTGATTTTTTTAATACTACAATAAAGAGTACATACCTTCCAGCCGTATCGTCGCATGTCTTTGCGTCTATAAATTGCTTTTATTATACATTATATTTTTTATCATATTTTTATTATATATACATGTTTTTAATGTTACAATTTTCTTTAAACCTGCAGTGCCCGAAGACAGCCGCGGCTGTCAGCTGTGAAGCTTGCCGGAGCGAGCCGGAGGTGCCTCGTGTCGCGTTCGTGTCACAACACAAAACTCACAACAGCTGGGGCTTAGCCGGGAGTTGGAGGGGCAGGAAGGGGGGGAGGGGAGTTCGCATCGCGCGCGTCACGTGGGGTCGCGCGCGTGTGCACTCTTGTTGCGCGCGTGTGCACTCGCTTTGCGCGCGCCACACCGAGAGTATCCCGCGCCTCGTTCTCGGCGGAGTCGGTTGGTGCCTCCGTGGTGCTGTGTACCATCCGCTGCTGCTGCTGCTGCTCTGCTCGCGCGTCCATTCACCATTGGCGTCCATCGCGCCAACCTACGCGCGTATGTGCATGTGTGTACCGTGTGTGCGTGGTGTGTGCGTGCCTGCGTGTCGCGTATCGCACCACTCGACGATCCGTTCCTCCGTCTAGCGTCCTCCTCCGTCCTGCCTCGATCCCGGTCGATCGCGCCGCGGTCGAATTGATCCGCACGCGATCCGTCGCGACAGTTCGAGAGATCAGCGGCCGCGCTCGCGCACGGGAGGTGCGGGAGTCATCGTTCGCCGCCGCCGCCGAGGAGAAGACGGTGTTGGCCTCCTGCGTGGCGACGCTCCGCTCCGGTTGAAAATCGATCGAGCAGCCGCGAGCAAGCGGAGCGAGCGAGCGAGCGAGCGGCAGCGAACGGCGAACCGAGAAACGGCTGCACCTGCCGCTTTTTCGCGTGTGGCAGGCAGGCCGCCTCGCTCTCGCCTCGCCTGCACGGCATCGTCGCGTCGTCGCGTCGTCGGGTCTCGCCTCGGCGCGATGTGCGCGTCCAGGCGCTGACGGTCGGTCGACTCTGTGGCATGGTTCGCCCTAACCACCCGAGCCGCGTCTGGTTGCGAGTTACAAAGCGTTACAAAGGAAAATGGCGAAGGAGATGGAGTGCCAGACGTCCCTGAGTGGCCTCACGGATTCGGACGAAGGTACGCCGCCGTGGTCGTGGTTCACCCGTACGTCAGGAGTGATCCTATACATACGCGTGATTTCCACGCTCCGCGCTTCCGAGCGTCGCGCGGACCGGAAGATGTCCGGAGTGCAGAAGCGATGTTAGGCCGCCGTTAATGCAGACGTTCTCCGACGAGCAGTGCCCGTTTTCCGACCAATGTTTATTTAAACTTTAAATATCTCGGTTTAATTTCGCTCCTGTGTCCTTTCCTGATTCCTAGAAAGGATCAGAAGATGACAAAGAGGAAAGTTGTAACCGAGAGTTGAATCAAAGTTGTTCTATATATTGGTTGGAGAACGAACGTGAACCGCACTCTCTTGCTATAAATATCATAATATTGATTTTTGACATTTTGTCGGTCAGGATATAAACATATTGTGTTTTCATTCTTATAAATACCTGTTTGGGAACTTTTAAACATGTGTGTCAATACAGAGAGTTTATTCTATTTTCGTTCGTTATTTGTGCACTTGAGAAAAATTCCAAATTATAGAGCAGTATTGTGATAAGGAAAAACGAGCCACTACACTCGAATGATACAGGTCTGTTCTTTGTTTAACTAGTGCATACTTGTAATAGATAAAATGGCTGTGCTCAGCAGAGCTTTGCAATTATTGTAACATTCTTCATTATTGGTTTATGCATTTAGATCCGGTAGCGAGCTGAGGGCAAGGACCAATCGTGTTGAAGAACCTTATAATAGTTGCAAAGCTGCCTTTTTTCTGACGAACGCAGCTAATGGCCGCGTTCAGCTGCAACATTTATTTTGCGACTGTTGGAAATTTTCTTCGCACTAACAGGACTCTAAATTCCTCTAAATCTGAAGGTATAACTCATTCAGCGCGAAGTGAACTTCCAACGGTTGCAGAATAAACGTTCTGCTCAACGTAGTCAATGAAATAGATATATTTTGAAGTTTAGCGAATGGGAGATAAGGAAGTTTCAGTGCAAGTGTGCCAATGACAAAGAACAGACCTGTACAGTATTGTCCGTACGTGAATCGTTCGGCGTGTTTAAATTGAAGATATAATGCAGCACTTTAAACGATGAGTAAACGCTCGAGATCTTTGTGTCTGCTGTATTCAAAATCTTAGATTGTGATAATAGATAACGGAGGGAGTAATCAGAGGGAGTCATTTTTATAAAAAAAAACTTGTTTGTGTCTCGTCGATAGAAACTGATATATTGCCTTGAGTGTCCCTTAGAATATTCGGCTGCAATTTTCCGTTACCAAATTCTCGAAACACTCGTAACTTTCAGTCATTAAAATCATCATTCCCAGTACAGCGCTTGCATTAGTTTTTCGCTCGCGTCGACCCATTGAGTTTTATATGCATTAACACAAAGATTTATCAGCTTTGAAAAGACGACGGTCTTTCTCACCTCAGTTTTTTATTTTATTTTAATATTAAAACTTGTTATAAATATTATAATCCTTTTAGTTTAAATACATTGCTTAGAAGTCCATTTTTATGCGGATTAATTTTAATCCCGGTTTAATTTAATCTTTATCTTTTTCTAATTCTTGAAACTAGGAAAAGAGGAGGAATAAGTTGAACCACGATTAAAGATAGAAATGGACATTTATCTGTTGTCGCTTAATCTGTTTGACAAAAAATTGCTTCAATAATTCTCTAAAGTTTCCTTTTGAGTCACTGTGTCGCTAATACTTTTTCTCGTGTAAGTAACTATTTATTAATTGACATTGTAAGTTATCGTTTAATGAAATTTGTTTGCAGAAGACAAGAAGAATGCTAAAAATGCCATGCTGTCAAATCTACCAAATTCCACCAAGAAAAAGTGAGTAAGATACATTTGTATGAATATATTCTATGTATATATAATATATATTCTGTATATTTTCTGATTCAAACTGGGACGAAAATATTGAAGAGGCATTTATCTCTCTCTCTCTCTCTCTCTCTCTCTCTCTCTCTCTCTCTCTCTTTCTCTCTAAAAATGAGATTTTGCAATTAATTGCAATTTAATGTGGTTCAGAACCCCGGAGATAAACGGAGCATTACCGGTGAATCATTCACGGAAAGATTACAAGCATTGACTACAGTTTTCAATCAGCCTCGCTGCAAGAATGAATGTCGTTTAAAAACTGAAACTGTAATAACGTCCTTGCGACCCGAAAGAGATCTCCAAGTTTCTCATCGGGGGTTATCTTATCTGCTGCAACTATGGACCTCCGTGCACATCGGTAGCTCCGCCGCGTCATTTATATGTACATCTGCACACGAAAAATCAGTCAGTCAACGCTCAAGTTTAATCGCGGACCTCACGGTCGCATTCTAATGTTGCTTTAGAGCGACATGATAGCCCGTTACAACATTGTCCGCCGCGCCGATTGTTTACGTTATCGCGCTAACGCGGCATCGCATAACAATTATCCCGTCCAAGGTTCAGGTTTACCTTAAATTACACTGTGCCACGTACTGCTCTCACTATCAGTTAAAAACTAACCGTTCGGTCGTTCAATGTCAGACAGCTTCTGCCGTAATTTCGTATTGCAAAAGGCGTTAAAAATACTCCGTTCTTCAGTTTCAGTTAAACAAATATCCTCAGTTTTTCTCCTGCGTCCAACAAAAAAAAAAAAAGAATTTCCCGAGACAGTCAACAATCGCCATTGCATATAAGTTACCGGTTAAAAGGTTGCACTTTTTATTTTGATGGGTCTTGGAATGCAGTTTTGCTTGTGGAGCGGTTGAACACGATTGGTTAGATCCATTGGTAGGAATCAATCGCTCAGTGAACAGACTGTGTTCCGAAAATGATTATAAAAAAAAGTATGGCAACCTTTTGGCGACTATACAAGTAAAAAACGCACCGGCTCGATATACTTTCGATCGTTCAACGGTAGTCGAATTCTTTCGTTAGACGATATATAGCTTACGCGCGCCAGGCACGAGAACATGATACTGTTTAATAACATAGTTGCGAGGGTATCTGTGCAGCGTGTCGTGCCGTAACCGGAGGACCGATCGAATATCGAAATTGGAGTCCTGCAGATCGTCGGATCATTCGATCCGAATCCGCTCAAGTACAGCGTGCAACGTGACGGTGGATGTGTTTTAGCTGGTGCTTCTTCGTCCCGTCCGGTTGTGTTTAACGTGCGCACAGAATCGCCCGGAGCCAGACATCAGTGCGCGCGTGCGAGATACGTGGCAGTTCTATTGAGAAGCTCTATTAGGAAATCTCATTTTAATTATTGCACTTTTTGATTAAACGACAATTGTGGGAATAGTGGGCACGTATGTGTTTTTAAGAAAATTCGCGGAGGATTCGGGGAGGGGAAGAGATTTTCCGAGTGACGTGGCATGAAATGGCACGAAAAAACGCGTGGAAATATAACGTGTTAGTCGAGTCACCCAGAGGTCTTAACTCCTGGTAAGTCGCAATTGCGTTATTAACGTGACAATTCGAGTTTTTTCCTCCTCAGGGATTCCCACACACGCTCTCTCGATCGACTCTCGTCCGACTGAATGAATCACTCGCTTGATGCCTGTCATTAATTTCCTGTGATTACCCTCATCGTATTTTTTTTTCTGAGATCCATCCAGTGCCAACGTCTTTCTTTTGTTTAGAGATGGGTTCCGAGAGATGCGGCCGGGGTAAAATTGGATTAATCCTCGCGGCCATTCTCACTTTATTAAACGCCAGCGTGCGTTACATTGTGATTCCCGGCGTCTTGTGCGATAAACAACGGACGCGGCAGTGAATTATATGCGGTTTAATAGCTGCTAAGCGATATCACGCGCGCAATGCGAGTAATGTGTACAGTAACTTTGTTATTAAAAGATATATTGATTAGATATATATATATGCATACATACATATATATAAGATCAATTAAAGATAATGCTGATAATTAAGATCTTAGAGATAACGTTCGATAAAATTTACAGCAAGAAAAGATTCACTTTGATTTAATTGAACAATTTGCAGATTAGTTCTCTCGGTGTTTTTTTTTTGTGAACGCGTTGTATTTAAAGCTTCTTAACGATCCCGTTTCGCAGGAAGTGTTTATCAAGCACATTTAACATCTGGAGACATGTACACGGAAAAAAATGATGTTATATTAATAGCACTAGTTTAATTGAAAATAATTTTGTTAATTTAATAATTAACGAAAAAATTAATTTTGCCAAAGTTTTTAAAAATTTTGCTAGATATAACTTTAAAAATAATTATGTGAGTTGCTTAAACTGACTGCTAGAACGTCAAACTATTTGCAACATTATCGTCAGCTTTTTAACGTTGTACATAATTATTTTGACATAATTATTTTCTGTATCTGTAGCTATTTAGATATTTGAACAAAATCGTTCCTTCCGTGTAGTGTTAATGAAAATACGTCATATTCTTATTTTAATAAGATATTTTAATTGTTTTGGTTTTGTTAATAATAATTTCAATAAGGTTATATGTATACAAGAAACAAAGATTGGGAGATTCCAAGTTTGAATCCTGATTGAAGTAATATTTTTCTTTCGCAATAAGTTTTCTACAGTTTTATGATATTTATAGCATTAACATCAAATTAAAGATCAATTTAATACGTGATATTATTTTAGTTTAAAGTAATGATTGCGCTCTTAAAGACTGATATAATAATTGGCGCGTAGCTTGATAGCTGAAAATTGAAAATTAAAAATATTAATTTATATAATTTAATATTTATAATTAATATATTATTAATAGACAATAAATATCTAGCCTCGGCCGAATTTGGTATTTCTCTTATTTATTTATTAACACTATTATTGAATTTATTCAACAAGATTATTTTCAATTAAATTATTGCTGCCAATATATTTTTTTTCCGTACACGTGCAACCTTTATGAAATAACCGAGATATTCTTATCGTGGCTACTTCAGATCGCAGCATCTTGAGAATCCACTTAATTATAGCTTATAAACCATGTCTCATAACAAGTTTGCTAATCGGGTGAAATGTTTATTCTTGCCTCGCTATAACGCACACTTAAAATACAGCAGGTACTCGGATATATTTGCAAGTGACACTTTGCAAGTAAGATTCGGAAATGTATGTTTTTATTTTCCACTCATCAACGCCGTCGCGCCTTGAAATAGTGCCCGTCCGAAGAAAAAAAAAAAATACTTCTCTGGAATTGGAGTGGAATGTCGGAATTTCACGTCACTTGATATCCTCGCGATATTATCGCCGTAATACATGCAACAATTCCTTCTTCTCTCTTTCCTTCCGTCACGCACATGCCGCGAGTATCACGAAGATTGAGTCCCCCTTCAATCTCGCTGGACGGAATCGTTATCTGGAGCATGCCTTTCTCTCTCGTCCGAGTTACGGACGCCTGTCCCAGGCAGTCGGTCCCAGGTAGTCTCTGACTTACCTGGTCCCCCGGATATTCGCTATCGCTTCTCGGTTTACATCCGTTAAACACGTAGCGTTTTCGTATAATCGCGCTGCGGTGAGATTAATTGATGCCTTCACCCGTTGATATCTTATATATATCCTGAATCCTTGACTCATTATACGGTGAACCTTTAAACGCAAAATGTATTTTTGCACAAATAATTTTTCCTGAGTATAGTGTTATTATGTGTGTGCGCGAGTAATTTCAATTCTTACAATGTTCGCAACAACGACAGTGGAAACGACAGTGGGGCCTCAGCGCGGCTTTGTTATCGGGTTCAGTGCTCTTTTAGACACGTGGAAAACTAGTTGATTACCTCGAATTATCGCTAGCTCGCGGTCACACGAGGTTCCTATCTCATTTATTTTCCTAGCGATATACACGCAATATTTGTACTGTGATACGTTATTTATCTCTTAATATTATATTGTTACAACCTCGATTGAAAAGAAGTATAAAGAGAATAACTCGATGTGACAAAATAAGTACACAATCTTGACGAGCGCAAGAAATTTTCACGGCGCCGTTTAATCTAACGCGAGATGACGAAGTTCAGGGGTCCGTTGGTCCATCAGCTGAAGCAGGCGTATCGCAATCTAACGGATATTACGACGGCGAACGAGGTGGTGAACCGCTCGATATCGCTTGAAAACATGAGATTGCTTGGGTTGGTATACAAAATTATTATTTATATATATTGAGTCGAACCCGAGAAATTGAATTGTTGATTTTCTCAGGTTAATTTCAATATGCGCGGCAAAGGTAGAAATAAACGTGTGCTAGTTCCTTCAGATCGTATATATAAAACATCCGTTAGAATCATGTCATGCTCATCGAAAGTCTTTATCGAAAGTGAATCAAGTATATCTTCGATTCTTAATAGAATACATTTGCTAAGATTGGGGGTTTTTCCAATAAAGTTGATAAATCGTTCCAGTTTGACGATATTTATATATTCACCTGATTTACTTCTATGACAATTGCGATTATCGTTCAATACTCGCAATGATGAAAATACTACGATGAGAAAACTTATTACCATATTCGTAATACATATTTACGCGCAAGGAGAAAATTTTACGCGTTACTCTTTCATTCGAATCACGGAATATTAAGCTTCGATGCTGCGGGCATAGTTTATACACTACAATGGCGCGACATCAGCGGGACTTCTCATTATAGCGCCCCGTATCAGTATATACGCATTGAGATCTTCATTAAGTTTCTTCTGCAATGCGCACGCATATATGCGTCTATTAGCTTGCCAAACGAAAGTTCATCACGAGCAGAAAGCGTGTAGGCCTTTTACTTAAGACCTAGTAACTTTCACGCGCATTAAAATTACGGCCGTTATAGTGTCGCGCGCGACTTGTGGACGCGAGATATGTAGAATAATTCATGCATGCAGGCTTCGCACGATCGGAATTTACCATTGCATTTACGGCGTCTTGTGAATCAACGCAAAATCGCCAGATGTACGAGCGTCCTTGCTTGACGGCGCGTACTGGGTCAGCCTTTTTGACGTCGATCATGCTCGGTTTATCGCACACGTACACGTGCACCCCGTTTAATTCGACATTCCGTTCATGATAAAACGCCGCATTGTTTGGCGATTAAGAGACACTCGCGCTCGTATATCTGGAGAATACGGCGCGAAGGACGCGGACTTATCTGTTACATTTATTATATTCATTTCAAGAAAGACGCGCTCGCCTGGAAATATATGCGTATATCGTAAGCGTTGCCAATTATATATATATGAATATTCCATAATTATCTCTTTAATTGTATCGTAATTTGCGTAGATACAGTTCCATTTGATTATAGCATTCTATTTGTAAAAAAATACGATGGAAAAAAATCATAAAGTGTAATCAAGAGTAATTTGGAATGATAAGGATACAATCTAGAATGGGTTTACATCTACATAAACGATAAAATGGATTGTCTTTATTATTCCAGATTACTATTCTGAATTACCCTCATCATTCCAAATTATTATTTTAAACATATTATTATTGTTCCAAGTAACATAAATCAACATAAATTTCCACGTAAATCGAAAATTATTTCCTCGGGATTGAAAGAGGGAAGTGCTCGAGGGAAAGTTCATTCTCTTCGTCTGATGCGATGGCGAAATCAATTCGGCCCTGATCGTCCCCTAATGGGCGCGCTCCGTGGAACTCCAAGTATTCGAGCCCCTTCATCGAGCGGTACGGTCCTTCCGCGCCTCCAGGTCGGCATACTGTCACCTATACGCCGAGCAGCTGGTCGCGGCTATCAGCCGCGGCGGCTCTCGCGCGCGCGAGATCAACGCGACTTATATCCTCTCCGCCGAACGGGAGCGGGAAATGAGTGCCGTGGGCAAAAAGGCGATCCGTGAGCAACCGTGATCGCCGGAGTGCCGTGGGACAGGTGATTACCGAAGTTATCTCAGTCGCTCGGGTGATATCAATTCGCGTCGAGTATCGCGTAATATTTTGGTGCCGCGCCTTCCCCACTTGTACTGCTGCCGCCTTCGAGTCGCATATACGATCGTAGAAATCGCGACGTCCGCACTTCTGCAGATCTGCCGGCGCGAAATATCGCATTGCCCCACAAGGGGGTGGTGACCCGATCGTCGATCGCGTGCGTTTTTCCTGAATCGCCTTTCTCTCTCTCTCTCTCTCTCTCTCTCTTTCTTTCCACGATCCACAATCAATTAGAAAACGCGGTGCGTCGACTGCCCGAAATAGTCGCGACGATAGTTTGAACGTTGGACTCTCATGGTGAACGGCGAGTCGATATAGACCTGGGTTTGCTTATATAGTGATTGAAATCGAAGCCGAGAATCGATGATTCTCCTGCATGTATCGTGATGGCTCTTATCGAAGCGCGACAACGCGCAGACGGATAATGAAGTAGCATTTTCCATCGCGAGATATCACGAGAACGTTCTATAATGATTAACGTTTGCTAGTACGGAGAACCGATTACGTGGCAACATATGCTACTTATAAGTTCGTTAAAACTTCGTTGTATTGCTCACGTCCTAAATAAAAAGTATAGAGATATTCTTTTTGACGTAATTAAGAGTTCTGAGAAAATTTTCCAGAAAATATCCTTGCACCACGACACGACAAAGTGTTTCAAGAATCACTTGCAGTGAATCACTCACAGAATCGATTGCGGATTTTCTAATTAGACCTCTGCGTCGATTTGGCGAGAATGTAACTATACGTTCCCAAACTTTTGCGAACTTTTTTTCGGGCTTATCTATCGTGTCGGATGATAGGAAATAGATAATTTTCGAGAGTCTAAACCCCGAGGCAGATAAGAGACCGCGGCGCGTAACAATTTCTAAGAGTATCGAAAAAAAAACTTCAAGGTTCGGTATTGCGAAACTTCGGTTGCTCCGTTTGATGATGAAGGAAGGTGAGGAAAAGCTGCCTCTCCTTGGCAAAAGTTACGGCGCCGTCGATACTCTCTGGTAAGCCCCTGGAGAATTGCGATTGTTAGTTGTTGTGCAATATCGCGCGCCCGTGTTTAGAGAGAAAGAAACGGAATCACCATTCTCGAAAGGTCTCCCACAAAATTATTTGGGATTTTATCGATTTTCTCTTGTAGATCAAACGTAAATATTCGAGTCAGGGAGAAATAAACTCGGAGACTCAAATAAATCACGGTCAATTTTAATAAATGGTTTTATGGGGACGATTTTCAGACATATAATTTCTTAAGCATCTCCAAGATTAACGTAATGCTGAAACGAAAACGGACTCGCATTAATTTCTCACCGTTTCTCGAGCGTGTATTTTGAATTTATAATTTATAATCTCGTCTAGCCACTCCAGAAGCGAGTCAGTTCGTCGGCGTAACGTTCGCAGCGTTATACGTAACGTTGTTTGCGAGGAACGTCATTGTCTGCATTTCTCGTGGAAACCTGCTTCCGCGGTCGACATACTATATACTGTTATCTGCGTATTGCGGATAAGGAGAGAGAAATTTTTGCCGAAATTCGAGATAGCCGACTGGACGTTTCTTCCATGTGTCTTCTGATGATGGATCGTCACGTGCTGAACGTCAGAATTGTCTGCTGTGAATTAATGGCGTGCACGCCGTTAACTTGTAACTTTATCTCCTCGAAACTCTCTTCTGTAACATCTTTATCTAACGATGCCGCTTCACGGAACAATGAATATGGGATCGGTTTATCGCGCGAAACCGATTGCGCAAATGTGTAAAAGAGATTATGACAGTAAATAAATCGATTTAAAATCCCGCGGGACTGTCATGTCGTGGCAATTTATTTCGCAATGATATGGACACGATCTCCTTCAATCTTGTCTTGTGTCCATCTTACAATAGAATGCGTGGAACACCGCTAAAATAACAATATATAAATAATACAAAATGTTCTGTTACTAATTTACAAAATTAATAATTAATATATATTTATTAATTTAATGTATTAAAGCAATAAGATAATTTTATTTGGAAGATGAAAAGCCACTTACTTTTGTAAGAACTTCTTCATGAAAATGGGTGAAATTTAGTTATTATATTAATTGGCGTTTTTCACTCATATTGCATTGAATTTTAACGAAACACATCACATTAATTGAGACTGACAGTATCCTAGTTTTATTGCGCTGAACTGAAATCACTTATGTTGTACGATTCTGAATTCACTGTGGAAATTTGCAGGGATGACTCCGACACCGATTTCGAGGGTACGACGCATCTGGTGCGCGTGCCGCGCACGGAGGTTAAGACTGGCGTCGCCAAAATCGACATCGAGGGCATGACCTGCCAGAGTTGCGTGACGAACATCGAGAGGATAATCGGCAAGCGGCCGGACGTCATCAGCATCAGGGTGATTCTCGAGGAGAAGGCCGGCTACGTCAAGTACCGGGCGCACGAGACCACGCCGGATGTGTTGGCGGAGGCGATCGGGGAGATGGGCTTCACCGCCAGCCCGTCGTTGTCCGAGGATTCCGCGGAGTACGCAGCGAAATCCTCCTTATTACTTACCACCAACACCTGCTTCATACACATAGACGGAATGACGTGTAACTCGTGCGTTAAAAACATCACCAGTAAGTCGATAATATGGTAAAACAAAATCCGCATGGTGCGCGATTCGGTCCGTCAGTTCGACACCAGTAGTATCTGAAAACTGGAAATCTTTTATTTTATTTCATTATGTCTGCATAATTTTTGCGTAAAAAAAAATGATTGCTCTGTTTGTATGTGAGCAAGTAATAATACTGGTGTTTCTCCTTGGTTGGAAATTTTGAAATTTTATATCCCCCTAGATTATAGATAAGTTCTCACGTCGCGCAGCTCCGACGTTTTCTATATACAAGGGCCACGTGTGTCTTCTGCCGTAGGTGTTCTCAACAACAAGATCGGTGTAAAGAAAATACATGTCAGTCTGAAGAATAAAGAGGCCAGAGTCACGTACAGTGCTGATATAACGCCCGACGAGGTAGTGGCGCATATAGAAGAGATGGGCTTCTCCGCGTATGTGAAGGGAACGAACGACATAGTTGCGGACGCTATTCTCAATAAGAAGAAGAAAAAAAAGAAGAAGCCCGAGGTGGTGCCGCAAGCGAACGGCGCTGGTGACGTTAAGGAGCAGTCGACAAAGTGCTTCCTGCACGTATCGGTACGTTACGCTCCTTATATATTTTTGACTCATTATATGCGGATTTACAAGTTTTCCGTGTGACGGCATAGCACGTCGCATTTTAAGCGGTATGAGCTAGTTCATAATGGATTGATTTGTTTTTGAAAAAGGGTATGACCTGCGGTTCCTGCGTCACTGCGATAGAGAAACATTGCAAGAAGCTGTACGGCGTGAGCAACATAATGGTCGCTTTGATGGCCTCCAAGGCGGAAGTCGCATACGATCCTAGCAAAATAAGAGCGGAGGATATCGCTTCCAGTATAACGGAGCTGGGCTTCCCTGCGTCTTTAATTGAGGAGTGCGGGACCGGCGAGGGCGAGATCGAGCTGATAGTAAGACAGTTGAAGACTTAAAGTATATCCTTAGATTGGCATCAATGATATCCACTGAAAACAGATATCGTTTTGTCCGTTTAGTTTTTCTGGAATTAAATCGGGATTTTCTGGAAATAAATCCCGCGCTTGTCTATAACGGCACAAATTCTCGAACGTGCTTGGTATAAAAAAAGATTTTAAACTTAAATTACGTAGAAAGTTAGACATTTTATTATATATAAATATATCTCGTACGCACAGCTGCGTGGAAGAGCGTAGCACACGTTCCTGACTCCGAGTTCATTTCAGATCTTGGGCATGACGTGCGCGTCGTGCGTAAATAAAATAGAGTCGACCGTGAAGAAGCTGCCTGGCATAAAATCGGCGACGGTCGCCCTGGCGACGCAGCGGGGCAAATTCAAGTACGACGTGGAAACGACCGGTGTCAGAGATATCGTCGAGTGTATCACTAAATTAGGTTTCACGGCCAATGCGTTTACCAATCGAGATAAGGAGAATAGGGACTACTTGGATCAAAAGTAAATATACAATATACGCGGAATAATGAATGATGCACGCGTCGCGGCGTACCAGAGAGTGAGCTTCTTTTAATGGCCATGTTGTCCGTGTTGCAGAGAAGAGATAAATAAGTGGCGAAACGCGTTCTGGGTATCGCTGATTTTCGGAGTACCGTGTATGATAACGATGACGTATTTCATGTCGGTCATGTCCTTCGGCGACAAGACGCACGAGGAGATGTGTTGCATAGTGCCTGGTCTCTCCTGGGAAAATCTGTTACTCTTCGCGTTCTCCACACCGGTGCAGGTATGCGCGACGAGCTCGACACAATTCACCGCTATCATATCTCACGCTACGAATTAAACTAAATGCATTGCCTGCGCAGTTCTTCGGTGGTTGGCATTTTTACGTGCAAGCTTATAAAACATTGAAACACGGCACGACCAACATGGACGTTCTAATCTCGATGACTGCCACGATCTCATATCTTTACTCGATCGCCGTTCTCGCTGCCGCTATGATAATGCAAGAGAAAGTCAGTCCGCTGACGTTCTTTGACACACCGCCGATGCTTCTGGTCTTCATCAGTCTGGGAAGGTGGCTCGAGCACGTGGCGAAGGTACGTCGTTACGATTCAGTTCTTTGGTAGAGAGATGTGAGATATATAAGATAACACTAAAATATATTTCACTTCTAGGGGAAGACGGCCGAAATTCTCTTAAAAGTGAAATACATTTTAACGTTATTTTTATATATAAAAATACATATATAAAAATAATAAATACATACGCTAAAAGATAACGCTAAAGTGTATTTCACTTTTAGGGAAAGACATCCGAAGCTCTCTCAAAACTGTTATCTTTGAAAGCCACGGATGCGGTGTTGGTTACGCTAGGACCCAACAATGAGATATTGTCGGAACGCACGATAAACGTCGATCTGGTGCAACGTGGCGACACACTGAAGGTGGTCCAAGGCGCCAAAGTGCCCGTCGACGGCCGCGTGCTGACCGGTCAGTCGACCTGCGACGAGAGTCTGATCACGGGCGAGAGCATGCCGGTGCCAAAGAAGGAGGGGTCGCTGGTGATCGGCGGCTCGATCAATCAGAACGGACCGTTGCTGATTACCGCCACGCACACGGGCGAGCACACGACCCTGGCGCAGATCGTTCGCCTGGTGGAGGAGGCGCAGACGAACAAGGCGCCGATCCAGCAGCTGGCCGACAAGATAGCCGGCTACTTCATACCCCTGGTCATAGCGGTCTCCGTGGTGACGCTGGTGATTTGGATCATAGTCGGCTATGCGAATGTCAAGCTGCCCATGTCGCACAATGATCACATCAATAAGGACGGCCAGAATCGCAATGAGATCATATTTCAGTACGCTTTTCGAAGCGCCCTGGCGGTACTCGCGATCGCCTGTCCCTGCGCCCTCGGCCTGGCCACGCCGACCGCGGTTATGGTCGGCACGGGCGTGGGCGCGCTGAACGGCATCCTGATCAAGGGCGCCGAGCCGCTGGAGAGCGCGCACAAGGTCAAATGCGTCGTCTTCGACAAGACGGGAACGTTGACGTACGGTATCCCGACCGTCACCAAGATCGACCTGTTCGTGGAAGAGAGGCTCTGTTCACTGGGGAAGATGCTGCTGGTCGTCGGCACGGCGGAAATAAACAGCGAGCATCCTATCGCGTCAGGTAAATATCATCTCACCATGCTTCCTGTGCAATTACACGCTTTACATTGAAAACGTCCAATGATCGTGCAATTCTTTTTGAAGCGATCGTACGCTTCGTGAAAGAAATAATGGGCCAGACAATTACTGGGCAGTGCTCGAATTTTCAAGCGGTCGCCGGCTGCGGTTTGAAGTGCAAAGTAACACATTTGGATCAAGCGCTGATCCAGGCGTTGGATTCCGAGCAGATTGTCAACTATATGAATCACATGTACAACACGCCGTACGGAACGTACCACATCAACGACGTGCCCGTCGTGACCACGCAGATCCCCGAGGTAATACAGCACGAGAAGCAACACGCGGATTTGCAGTTGCTCCTGAATCCCGGCAAGCGTCGCTTGCCGCCGGAATTCGAGGACCTGTACGAGGTCTGCATCGGTAATCGGGAATGGATGCGACGGAACGGGATCATCATCCCGCAGGAGGTCGACACGAAGATGGTCAACGAGGAGGACCTGGGACACACCGCGGTCCTGGTCTCGATAAACCATATGCTCGTCGCCATGATCAGCGTCGCCGACAAGGTGAAGCCCGAGGCGCATCTCGCGGTTTACACCCTGAAAAAAATGGGATTGGAGGTGATTCTCTTGACGGGTGACAACAGGCAAACCGCGGCTTCGATCGCTAGACAGGTAAGACGGAATGACGAGATCCCGTTACACATAGAATATTTAATTTCTGCGATACACAGAGAGCATCAAGTTTTATTGGCTTTACTCCCTGGGGAAATATACAGGTCGGCATCAGCCGAGTTTTCGCGGAGGTGTTGCCGTCGCACAAGGTAGCTAAGATTCAGCGACTGCAGGAGCAAGGTTTGAAGGTCGCCATGGTGGGAGACGGTGTTAACGATAGTCCGGCTCTGGCTCAAGCGGATGTCGGTATCGCTATCGCATCGGGAACAGACGTCGCCGTGGAGGCCGCCGACGTGGTTCTGATGCGCGTAAGTCAACTTGTACAAACAAAGCGAAAGCGATGTGTTGCACTATAAATTGTCGCACACGAAAACGCAATGTCAATGTTCTTTTGCAGGACGATCTTCTGGACGTAATCGCATGTCTAGATCTATCAAGGAAAACGGTCTTTAGGATAAGACTGAATTTTTTATTCGCTAGTATTTACAATCTTCTGGGCATTCCCATAGCTGCCGGTGTATTCGCTTCCTTCGGTTTCTTCCTACAGCCGTGGATGTCTTCCGCCGCCATGGCTTTAAGTAGCGTATCAGTAGTTGGAAGCTCCTTATTATTGAAGCTGTGAGTAAACTTTTTTTTTAAATTATGATTTTTAAATATTTATAATCTCAAGGAGAGAAAGAGAGGCAATTAATATGATGTTTTAATGTGTATAAATTATCTGTGCAGTTATCGTAAACCGACTAAAGCCACGTTGGAAACTCCCGAATATTTAGAAGCTATGCGAGCCCATTCCACAGCGCAACAAATCGATATAGAGACGATATCACTCCATCGTGGATTGGAAGAATCCACGGTCGTATCAGCGGACACATCGCCATCCGCACTGTCCAGGTATAGGCAAATACAAATAGCTAAGTTGCGCTTACAAAACGACAGGAACTCCATCGCTTAACCTTCTGCGTAACAGCTAATCGATGTTGACTCTGGGAGAAAGATTCATTATTTGTTTCTAATACTAACCATGTACAGAATGTCAGAATTATTTTTGATAATGCAACTTACGCTCTTCCCTATCGCTTAAATGAAATATCGATATTGCGTTTGTAATTATGGTTTGCGAATAACATAGTTGGAAATCAAATGTAATTAATCGGTAATTTCATGCTTGTTATCCTTTGTAAATAACATATAATTTAATTAGATTCATATACTTACAATAAATTCAGGTTTCCTTACAAAACGTGCTTTACTGTAAATGACGATATGATGATATGTATAAGATGATTCTTAATTTACAATTTAATTTGACTTCCATGTAATTAACATCAACATAATTAAACCTAAACTCATTGTAGTTTCTCCTATTATTTTCTTTTGTATTTTTCTAATATGCGAAAAATAATTTTTACAATTTTTTAAAAGTATAAAAAACCGACTTTTACCGAACTTCTTATTCAAACGTCTTTAATAGAATAAATTGGTACCGATATCGAATAATTAAGAATCATTCTGCATGTGTGATATGTTCTTTAAAATCAAGCTGTAAAATTTTATGTTGAAATCATATTATTCTTACTTCAAATAATAACTGTAAAGTTGGCCGAAATTATGATTCCTGAAAGATTTCATTTCAAATGTTACAAAAAAGTTTTGCTTGTTCTTTGGAATTGCTGGTTTGTTACTTACAACAAAATAAGACTGAGAAAAAGAATGTTCTTACCTGCGGGAGGAATGTATTATCTAATTAAAATTATCCTTGTCATAGATATAGTTCTTTACTATTGAGTAACGAATAAAATATAAAATAATTAATGACTAAAATTACGTTAACGAGTTAAATATGTAAATAAATTACTGAGAAAATATACGGACAACTGTGTATGAATGTATTATCGAAATAATGTATTATGGATATGACTCTACTGTATAAATATTTTTGATGGCTAAATACTCATATGTGCATTTTAATTACATTACCTAATCCCATGACTAATATATTTGCAGTGGCAGTCATCTCTCACCTGCATAAAAATACGACTGTACATATATACTTCACACGGAAAGATTTCATTTTCATGTTATTTTTATTCACACTGTTAATATATTTACATCTCCATCGGGAAAGATAACAAAAACATACATACATTATTTGCTGCGAGCGCATTTACAAAACTAATACAATACAATGCTATTATGTGCTATAAATGTGTTTGCGCATCACGAAAAACGCATCTATTTGCAGAATATTTGGAAAGTCAAAAGTCGAGGTGGAGGGCCATCTCCTTGGCGAGGAAACAGATGAAAATGACTTAACCGTGGATTTTTCGAATTATCGTAAAAACGTGAAGAGCTCCACGGACATAACTTCCGTATGAATCTTGCAAGAGTATATTTGTCTGACAAGCATTTTTTTTTCTCGTCCGTTAATTTTGCAGCAAATTAATCGAACGTTACCAATAATTTTAATACTATTTTATAATAGAGAAATTTTATAATAGCTGCTAACAGAGAAGTTGTACAGTCAACTAACAATTCTATATAGATTATAATATTATTCATAAGACAATTTTCATCTGTCACATTAAAAGTAAGCTGCATCACGAAAGTAATAGCGATAACTCGTAACAAGACTTTATTGCCTCGTGATTCGATTTGAGTGATATTTATGGTCAAACAAATCGATTGATACGTTTTTATAGACTTATAACAAAATGTTTATATATTAAGATATATAAACAATATTGATTTATCTAATTATGAATGTTTTGTGATAACGGGATAGAGCAGTACTTCTTTTTTTATTGCAATTAATACGAACGCAAATTTTATCAGAAGTCTTATTTCATCGCACGCAGATGTACTTAACTCAAATAATATAAATCAGAAACATTATCTTGCACATTTTTTAAAAAAACATACATGCGTTTTCTATATTTTATATGTGCATTGCATACTATGAGAAATTGCATACGTCCTTTTTTACTTTACAGATATTACAAATATAAAATAAAAAACTGTTTTAATAAAATGTACTGGGAATCATGAGACTTTGGAGGAAATTAAAAGAAATCTTTGAAGTTGCTATTCTCGACCATATTTCTTAAATTGTACGTCTTATCTTTTATCAAATACGAATGTTTCATATTTAGAATTGCATCAATTGCAACGATTGAAAGTGAGAGAAGCCAAAAAAAATCATAATCTGCTCAGATATTTATTATAAATAATATATAAAATATTAGAAATTCCCTAAGCTGCAACTCGCATTAAGTAAAAAAAGAAATAATGAGTAATAATGTGTTATTACTTTTAGATGTAATTTAAGAAATTTTTATATTAAATATTTATATTTTCTCTCTAAATGCTTATGAAACACAATTGTGTGTACGTCTAATTTTTAAGAAACAGGATATTTAAAATGAAACTTTTTAGATTATATGCTTTATTTTTTATTTTATAGATTCTTATTGTATAATATTATTTAAAATATATTTGTAACGAGTTTTTTCTTATGTGTATATAAAACGTTTGAATATTAATAAATTAAGTAAACATTATATAACAAATATTGAAATATTTCGTATATCTTAATCTATGTAGGAGTTCACTATTTAATTCTATTTATATCGACATTTTTTATAATTTCTAAGATTCTACATTTTTTAAATATTTTCCATAAAGCGATATTCTATAATTTTTTGCACAAAATCACAATCAGTTTTCAAGAGCTCACGCATAAAAATATCTCTGTTTGACAGCTATCGATAGCAATTAAGACACATGATTTGCTCGTCGCAGTTATATCTGAAAACAACGCATACAGTTATAAATTACGCGCATATGAAGCTTTTACAGAGGCAACACACACGGCTGATAACTTACATAGGTAGAGAGCAGTTCTGACAGAACAATTCCGTGCAGTTGGCGCACACAGCCTGACAGGAGGAGCACAGCGCCTGATCACAGTAATAGCACGCGCTTACCGTAGACCGATCTATCAATCGGCCACACCCGCACAGGTCTATCCGGATATCCTGGAAGAAAAAACAAACAGTCGCAGAGAGCCATGCGAAGTGGATAGTTAAATATTCAAGCGTCAACACAGCGCGGACACAGTCCTCGCAACCTACATTGACAACTTTGTCGCTAGTTTTCAATTGTAATTTGTCGGTCAACATCATCTGTTTCAAATTGGACGTAGATTTGAATTTACAAGGTGACGATAGGTCCACAGAGTCCATTTGCCCGGACGTGTTTAACTTGTGGGTTGTGAGTGCCTTCGCGCCCGCCTTGAGCAAACTCAGGGTCCTATCTGGAAATGCACGCACGGAGTCAAGTGTGAGATTTAAAGGGAAACGTACAGGTATGTACATTCCAGGTCCCGCAAAGCTCGGTACCTACTGTAGACATCCCTCATCCGCTGGTCGCTCGACACACCGTTGTTGATCTGCTTCTCGCCCACGTGCACCTTCATCTGCGGCAACAGGTCGCCTTCGAAGGGACAAGCACGTTTTGGCATTTTCCAAAGTCAGCGTTAAACGACTTAAAAAAACATGACCGTAGCACGCTGTGAATCGGCAAAACGACGATGGCGAGGAACGCTTTTGCTATCAAACGGAATCAACAAGGTCCAGTCACTTCCATTCTGTACACTGAAAGTTATTATACATATAAGAACATAATATAAGCATCTTGAATGAATTGCTTAATTTTATAGTTTTTGCAGTTTTAATAGAACATATTAGAAAGCTTTTGAGTTATGTTGTAGCAAATATAAATATATTGAAGTCATCAATCAAGGCATAAAAACATAATATAAGAATCTTGAATGAATTACTTAATTTTATAGTTTTTGCAGTTTTAATAGAACATATTAGAAAGCTTTCGAGTTATGTCGTTGTAACAAATAGAGAATAGAAGGACAAGAAGCGTCATCAATAATGTTTTTCCTATTCAAACTAATATAATTTAAAATATGATTAGAACTCGCGACATATATATGATTAATTATGATTGATTGCCGATCTAGCGACGTTCAGTAAACCAAGAGGCTTCTTCTGTTTACAATAAGTTTGTTTTGGAAATATTATGCTCCCTTAATATTAGCCTAAGAGTTTAAATATGCATCAAACTAATAATACATCTAATTTGGATCTCGAAACCGAGTAGAGGCGTAAGATTATCGGTCTTTAGTAATAGTATCTTGTCGGTGCCGTTACCGAAAAAAAAATGTATTGAAGATGTTGTCAATCAAAGCACTTATGCTTTTTCAATAGTAGCAGTCTTTAAGATACTCCAAAGTAGAATACAATATATTATAGGTACCTGCTGAATTTGCGGTAAGAAATACAGGCTAAATATTCGACTTAGATTATTGTTCACCTTGGCTCTCGATGATGCAGTTCGGTGCTTCTTTTCTGTAAAAATATAAAGATATAAAAACATGAAAATCGCTCGGCACTGTGAAACAAGTAATTGATCGCATTTAAAGATCATGCTTTTTAGGATTATAATCGATGGTTACACCGATGGAGTATGCAAATAATAGGAGGAGGTGAACAATTAGACTGAACACTGAAGGAGCACGTGAATAATTTGTAGGCACCTTGAGAAATTACAAATGTTTACAAACCGTTACCGATTAATCCTCAACTAACCTAGAAATACTAGCGATCGATAAGTTCATTAGGTTCAGATACGGTTTACATCATTAATGCCGTTAATGGATTCTTCTTTTCTTTATGGCACCTGCTTTTTTCTTCTTTTCTTAATGACACCTGACCTTGGCACTTGGCTCTGCTCTCAAATAAAAGACAATCCGGCCAAAATGTGTGGTTAGATGCGGAAATTTCAGAGCGGAGCATGGAGCGGAGCAGAAGCCAGAAGGCCCAGAAGGGACAGCAGAGGCCGCAGTGGAGCAGAATGTAAAACGCATGCGCAACAAGCAGGCTGTCGAGGCGGGATATAGAATATCACATGGTAGACATGATATGTATTTCTATCATGGAATATCAAATAGATTTTACATGACACTTTGCAGAATAATTAATAATGTTGCATAAATATGATAAGGGATTTTTAATTACTTAAAATATATTTTTACTTAATTAGGCTATTTAAGTTGGCAATAAATTAAGTTTCTAATTATGGGCCGCGCGTGATCAGTTAATTGTCTCGTTGCGCAGTAAAAAAATGGTATAATGATTAACGTATATATTTCTTGAATGGCATGTCCTCAAGGACAAGAAACGTCATCAATAATGTTTTTCCTATTCAAGCTAATATAATTTAAATATTATAATGATTGGAACTCGCGACATATATATATGATTACGATTGATTGCCGATCTAGCGACATAGTAAACCAAAAGGCTTCTTCAGTTTACAATAAAAATTCTCTCTTGAAAATATTACGCTTCTTTAATATTAGCCCAAAAGTTTAAATATACGTCAAAACTAATAACATCTATAATTTGGATCTTGAAACCGAGAAGAGGGTAAAAATGTTTCAGTAATAGTATGTTGTCGGTGCCGTTTCCGAAAAAAATGTATATGTTATACCGTTTCAGTTTCTAAAAAAAAAACAGTAATGCCGTTACCATTTCGTTACTAAAAAATTAAAAGTAATTAAAAGTAAAACAGTAATTGTAACGATATAATGACGTACGTTATAAATAACGAATTACTTCCAATCCCTGAAGATTATTACACGCTCAGCGTATCTATTATTTTCAGTTTGTTCGTAAAGTAATTATTATAAAGAACAATTAATAAAAAATACATTCTTTAGAAACAAACACAATAAATAACATTCCTTCGTTTCGGCAATTATACTTTCTAAATAAAATATTTTCAAAGTTATTTTTAATATTGTCCAGAAATATTTATAAAATATTTTGTAAATAATTAATAAATTTTATTTTTAATTTAATGAACTAATTAAATAAATAATTCATATTATATTGTTATTTTCAAACATTGCGAGCAATAAGAATACAGTGATAACAAAATAATAAAATTTAATTTTTATATTATACTTTTAGAAATTTTATTAAATATAAAAGACAATTATAGAAATGCATTTCCATTATTATATTATGCATTGTACATTATAAAGAAATTCTTAGGATTCAAATGACATCTTTAGAATTGAATATCTTTAATAACCTTTAAATCACCACGTCTAAAAAAATCACACTAACCACAATGTTGGTCCGACAGACCGCTATTATGCTCCCGCTAATTTTATAAGTTAATTATAATAAAAATGTATATTTTCTGAATACTTGTTGATGGGGAAGAGGAAATGTTGTGTTTTTAAGGAAATTCCCGAAGGATTTAAAGACGCCCGTATATTTTGTATAATATATACGTTAACAGTTTTATTCAAGTTAACACACTACACTGAAAAAAGTAGTCTTGCAATTATAGCGAGAATTATTTAGATATAAAAAATTAGCTAAAACAGATAAGTAATTACTGATTAGTAAGCAGTGCGATATTTTATACTTAATCAATATAGATAATAACAAAGACAGAACTTCCATGTTGGCTTGCATTGTCGTTACTTCACTATTGGTGATTAATTCTGAAAGAATTCTACAATTTATCATATAAAATATTGCAGCAAAAATGTTTTTGAAACCTTTCACACCTAATAAACTTAATTAAAGAGCAGTTCGCGGCACTGTCACTAGATATA